CAAATGAACTCGTGAAATGAAATAGCCAATCTTACTTCGTTAGTTACAGTCATTTCTTTATCTTTCTGTCACTTAATAAACGAATAATTATTACGTTCTGATCCTTCCCGATTTCCGTTGGTAACCTCGTGAATCATTTTGGACGTCAGAGGGAATTGTCCTGCGCAATTGAAACAGGATATCGATAAACTTATGAGGCAAACAAAGCCGCCAAGAATTCTTGAATTCGTGCATTTCGATTCTTTTTATTTGTGAGCAAGCTGGATATTAATTTTTGAATATTACCTGCATGTTATACTGATTTGTGGCTGAATATAACGTACAATATTCTAGTTTTCACGGTCGAGGTATGTTTTTATGCAATGTTTCGAGAGGGCTGTGAAGGTAAAACAATAAGACGTAGATAAGGACGGAAACGCTATAGAAGTTTACGGTATGTATTGCAGTGGTGGTAAAAAATCGTGTTGTGGGCCGGCGATGTTGTACTTTTAACGAAAGAAAATAAGCGGTCGTAGATTATATTTTTATAGTGACTATCTAAAAGCATTGCCTGCAAAATCTCAATTTTGTTCGTTGTTTGCTATTCAAGTTTTTTAATAGACTATTCGTATCAAACCATATGATCGCTCTGGCTGATAACTTCAACAAAAAGGCGTTTGTATAGTATGACAAAGTTATTTTATCCGCCCAAGTTCGACGAAAATCAACGCCGTCGAATGTGAAACCTATTGGGAAACAAATGTTATCTTATAATGCGTTACATGATACTAATTTCAAATAATCCAAATCCCTAATAATTTGACAATAAGCCGAAACAGATTTACAAAAAGCTGTTTGGTGCCGATTTCACCTCGTGGACGGAAACAGGCCATATAATGTCATCTTCCGCTCGACTGATATAAATTATGCTTTAAGCACATTAAACATCTACCGTGAAACGTATTAATTTTATATGCAATGTTTCTCAAACTGATCAGTTTTTAACCATGGAGTTATATATCGGTAACCATACATGGACTATTAATAAAAAGGTTTCGCACAGTGTCTGTTCAAGGATTATTTTTTGTCCGCTATAATGGAATTTGACACCTGAACATTATATATTAACAGCATATCATGTTGAATTGTTCCGTATGTTATTCGGGAGTAATTATTCCGGCATCGTTTTACACGTTCCCATAATGTTCACGACAATACTTGACGAAATCGTTGTCTCTCGTGTCACGCTAAATTTGCAGCGCTTCATCGTCTTTTGTTCATAGAAAACAATCCCCTGATTACCGGATTATAACATCATTAATAAAGTTCTGTAATTTATATCAGTTTAAGTGTGAAAATGTTCACACGTTCAGGTGGTTGTGGTTTTCATTGTCAAGAATTATCAAAGTCTTGAATAGAAAATAAAACAAGCTAAATTCATTTTAAAATTGCCCAAAATAAATTGTTTCCGTTTTACCAAATGGCGAGCGCACACAGATATAAAATTTGCCTCTTGTGCGTTCATCTGATTTATATATTGGGACAACATAGTCAAAATGCAATTGCACAAAGAAATAATATCAAAATATGGAAATATACGAAGACCTACTCTGGAGAATGGGGATCTTCACACGATCTAGCCTAGGAGGCGATCTTTATAAAACCAAGCTTCAAGAATTTATATGGCTAGACCAGCGTTTCCCAACCTTTTTTGGCCGCGGACTATTTTCTCACCGGCAAAAACTTTTGCGGATTCAACGTGCGTTTATTGCAAGCGTACTCTGTATGAAGAAGTAGTAAACCAAACACAACAGAATTTTACCGAATTTCAAAATCGGAAATTCACCGCAATTACGCGTTTGGTAAAAAGCCGACTTTTTTAGCGTACAAATCGCCTTTTCTGTCGCACAATATTCAATCCACGACAACGACGAGAATTTTGAATGTCTTCCTATCTTAATTTAATTGTATTCATGGTCACTCGCGGTTGCGTCGACTTGTAGTATTTTCTAGTGCTGCTTTTCAAATTAGAAAATTTAGGTTGCCACCATTGACACCTACCAGAAAAAAGTTATTCCTTGTTGTTCGGGCTCGCGAGAAACACTACTTACGTATCTATCCACGCATGCGCCGGCCGACTCGTGTTTTCGTCAGAAATCCGCAAGTGAGATGTGAAATCAAATCGTTTGATTAATTAAGCGAAGCGCAAGTGACCTGTCGCGTCACCTTTTATCAGATTTTCGAATAGTAAATTGCTATTCTAATAGTTGCCCAGCCCTACTCAGTATCCAGTAATTATTGACTCGATTAATGTTATGTGAATAAACTTGCTTTTTATGTTTTATGTAAATTCTAACGTAAATGGTAACTTGGCTGATGGTTATGTTTCGCAAAAACGTTTGCGGCCCAAAGTGAAATTCTGGCTCGTCGCGGACTCATTCAAACGTTCCGATGACCCATTTGAGACCGCGGACTCGGGTTGGGAAACACTGGGTTAGACCGTGGGGGAGGGAGATCTTCATATTATCGCCACTTGGGGGCAGATCTTCAGTTAGATACTTTCGTCAGTGGAATGAATCATCGTATGATCCGAAACTTGGAGCGTATTTCAGTCCATTGGCTTTTAAGCATATTACCCAGCAACCAGTACTAATTATTTAAAAAACTACAATATAAAATATTGTCTTCATGACAGTCCATAGCTTAACACATGATCACTAGATTTCGCCGACAATCGGAGATATAGAAAATCATAGTCCCCGCTACAGAGAAATATATGAAACAATAGCATATTGATGGCCGAGTAGGATATTTTGTACTTGGCGAAAGAAGATAACTGGGGAAAGGATTAATTCAATCGCATGAGTTGAAATAACAATATAAAATATTTGATTGAAGATAAGGTTGCATCTTATTGTGCTTCCTTCTTCGTGAAGGGTGTAATATTTTCGGAGGTGTTTAATTTCGTAACAATACCAGTCATATTGAACCATTTACACTTCAATCAAATCGTTTTTTCTTCAAAGCATATGAACTACTCTAGAAATAAATTATACCAGTAAAATATACCCAGAACGTTCATTCATAGTCGGACCTACACAACTTTTATTAATCGAGTCAACAAATTCTGGAGAATTTTGAAAGTACCTATGCACACACCATTAACATGCAGCTAGCGTTGTGTCAGTAGCAAGGTAACTAAAACAGCATTATGTATGATGTATCTCTATGTGTCTTTCTCACGTTAATGGTCATACCAGATGGATCAGCACAAAAAATTAATATACCTACATTTTAGCTAAAATGGTTGGGTCGTACAGCCGTTAAATTTTAGTCATTTTATTGCATTCCGTGAAAGCGATGTAATTGGAAAGTAACCTCAATTTTTTGTATTGTCTCTCCGAACTCACAATTTGAAAACCATATGTTCAAGTAAGGCTATTTCCTTTTATCCGCTGCAGATCACAGACTCATATTTTCGCTGAAATTTCAAGCTGTTAAAATGGTAATTTTAGATTCGATAGTCATTGCACGCATTTTTAAAGTCGCAATTACAGGAACCTATAGATAAATCTATGAAACACAATCGCGCGTCGTCCGTATATGATGTGCACGGTTACAGAAAGACAGTTCATATTAGACCCATATTTAATAAGTACCTCACCGTCCATTTTATTATCTTCATCGGCGAACATATTTTTCCAAATAAAACCCATATTAACTGAGTTCATAGGCTTGAAAATCACGACACTGTTTCCGTGGTCAATTTTACATTATTTTTGCTTGAGGGAAATAACTTTTTATGTCGTGACTTCCTATTTGTCTTGCCCTTTCTATTTTACGCCTTGATTCATAAAGCATGTTTGTCAGAAAATGTCCGATGAATAATTAAATTTTAAAAACAGTAAAATATTATGCTTCGAATTTATCCTGTTTGTCGGCGACTCGTAGATACAACGAATACTTACTTACATTTACAACTCCAAATGCATAATATAGTAACTGTTGTTAATGAATAAAAAGAGCTGTGATTAAGTATAATACATCATACATAACATAATATTATAAACACGCATTTCAAAAACTTGCGGCTACCTTTAGTTATAGTTATATTAATAGGTTAAATTGACCTTTTAAAAAGATTGTGAAATAAATAGGTGACCATATTACGTGCGTAAATCCGACGTAACCCTAAATCAGCGTATGTTATTCTTATACATGATATATACTTGATCAAAAATGATCTTCTTCGGAAATCCATTTGACAATCCACGTCACCCTATACCTCCTGCAACATTCGCGGAGAAGGCGGAAGTTGATTTCTCAATTCTCTCGTTTTCCCCAAATCTCGCTTTGTTCTCTTCTAATAATATTCAAAGTGATCTTCAGGAAGCGTGCTTGATGGGGGAGAGTTCACACTGCTTTTTCCTGGTACTGCGGGAAAAAGAAAGCATGGGTTATCTCAATATCTCTCGCTTTTGTTTGTTATTAATATGCTTGTTGTGTGCATACTTCTACCAATTTGTCTTGCGACGTTTCAGTGTGCGTTTCGAGGAACTCTACATCGCGACATTATATTATAATCAGCTTCGATTGACTTTTAAATGCGTTTGTCGTGCCTTGGCTCTATGCCAATAACTTTAAAAACACGCGCTTTCCAAAAATAATTCAAAATTACAAAATCATAGTGCATTATTGTTACTTGTTAGTGGGGAATGCCTGACAGAAGTATAGGTGTTAGAAAGTATGAGTGCTCGTTCATTTGTGGTGACGTGAGGTTCGTGATTATTATTAAGTTAGAGTTGACAAAACTTGTTAATCGCAAAAATGGAAAGGTAGATTTACGTTCAAATAAATTAATTTTAACAGAATATATTATTCGGAATTTTATCGGTATTTGAACTTTATTAGCGTTTGTGAATAGTTTCCACAGACTTTAAAATGCGTACCTATATTTTTAAAAGTAATTTGCGATAGAGTTTAGATATTTGATATTCATTCAGTAAATTTATTATTATTTTAGAAGATTTTAGATATTTTGAAAAACGCTTTTAGTTACTCAGGCAAACAGAAAACTTTAATGCAAGCTTGCGTTGATTACACCATGAAGGCGGCCAGGGACTCGACGTCCGTGCAGGTGTCACGCGGCAGTTCAAGTCCTTTGGACTCCGCCAACGATGAGAATGTGATCCTTTCCGACTACGCTCATCCACAAGAAAGCGACATCTCGGCAGAGTTATGCGGAAGTGAATTGCACTCTCCCATGTCTATGAATTCATCCGTTTCATCAGAAAAGTAAGTAAATTTATTTATGGTTGAAATTTCAATTTGAAACTTCCAAATTATTTCAACATAATAAATTTGAAATGTAATATATACTTGATTACATGAGGAAAGAATAGGGGTAAATAGAGGTGAAATTAAAACAATAGATCACTCGAGCACGCATTAAGTAATGACAAGTAATTAGCTAATTGGCAAACTATTAGACGTTCATAAAACTTTCTAAGTAATAGGATACTAGTCCTCAGAACACAATATAACTTTGTATTTATTAATAATATTTAAAAACTTCTGTTTCTCAGGTTTTTATCGCAATCAGATTGCAATCGAAATCACAGTGATATGAGCGATGATTGCCCAAGCCCGTTTCAGGACAAGAACATTGATCCGGAGCATTCAAACAACAAAACATCACCAAAACCGACGTTGACAGAAATAAGTAAATGCAAAAAAAGAAAACAGAGCGACGAACAATCGTTAGAAGGTAGGTATTTTGGAAATATAAATTAATTTCATCACAAAGTAGAATTTTCAAAAATTACGTGCAACATGTGATTTAGTATATACAACGCGATTGAATAAATATACGGTAATTGAAAAATGCATTGGTTCCCATTGTTTTTGATGAAAATAATAATCAAATATTGTTATCATAGTATGGGCCGCGATTCAGGGGCGCAACTTGTCATGTGCTATATTTACTTTATATGTATAAAATGTTATTCACGATACTTTGAAAAGCTGAACCATAGCCCAACGCTTATAACTTATTGTTTAGTACGCGAATGAATCAGTTTGCCATGGCTGCCATTTTGTTTCCTTATTCTCTCGTACAGCCTTTCTCTATTTTTCCTATGCGCAATGCTAAACAGAAAGTTTTCGTTTCAATTGAACACGATAAAAAATATAATTTGCAATGTTTCCGCGAATTTTATTTTTGTAATAATTGTCATGATTTACTAAATTATATTCCAGTGGCCTAACTGAATGTTTATTTGCTACAGTGGGTGCTATTTCAGGCAAAATAACTTTCATTTTCTTTTGTGTAAATTTCAGATGCGCATCATTTCGAAAATAACTCCGACGTCGATGAAGATAGCGAAACTGCAGAGCAAAAGCACATGGCAGATATTGTTGGAGGTGTGATATAACTTCCTTTTTTGGAAAAGGTTAACTTTGAAAACCAAAACGAGTTATTTCAAATATTTTCTCTCGGTTAAAAAATTTGTGCACAAACATGTTTGTAGCTTGGTGTGACTGACTACGAAACTAATGTAGATATTTTCTCTCTCAAATTACAAATTCGACTTTGAACCGAAATGCTGTAAACTATCACTCGTATTCAGCAATAAATTGGGCGCATAACAACTTTTGAAGTTATCGGTTTTTAAAAAAGCAATTTCATTACATTACTTTGTTCATCTAGAACAGCCAAATGTTTTGAAATTACGCATTTCACAAATTGACAAGCCATTCAAATAATATTGACATTCCATTGCTATTCAACAATGGATTTGATATATACAAGAACTGCTGCATTACTTCCATATATCTACAGCACTAAACTTTTTGAGAATATATTCGAGACAAATTCAAAATGCATAAATGTCGTTTAAATGTCTTGTCTGATATTTAGGTAAATATGCTTTAAGGTCAATGAAATGCAAAAATTATATAGATCAAAGCACATAAACATTATATTTGGTTCGGTCAAAATAAATCCACATAGAACTAACTAAAAGTATCGTATAAATATGACGATAATTACCTATATTATTTTTGATCAGAATAAAAATATTTTATGGGAACTCTTCCATTTACCAGAGGCTTCATCCCCCGGAGAATTTCTAAATCATGCGCTTGAATTTATCAAGAACGGAAAAGACGATACTTTACCCAGAAATTACTGGCAACACAGCAGCACTGATAGGAAATCACAATCACCGGATAGGATGGATGTCAACCTATCAAATACTTCGAAGCGAACCAGAGTAGATCGTGATAACATGAATTCAATGTATCAATTTTCCAACTTGAATTCAAGTTCCCTATACGATGTTACCAGGAGAGATATAAAAAGAGAGCGACCTCGTAGCCGAGTAGAAAATGCTGATTATGAAGAAACAAATCAAAGAAAATCAAACGCTGCATTTCAGCGACGTTACCAAGACATTATAGCATCGACTTTGACTTCGAACGAAAAGTTGTTCGTGGAAGCAATCAAGCGTGAAGTAGCAAGCGCGGCAGAGTTTGCAGCTGAAGCTTCCGCGATGCGCGTGCTAGAGATGCTGGAAGCAAGCGGGGTGTATCTCGGCAGATCTTCCTATAAACAGGTAGATTTCCACCAGAACAACGATATGGCAAGAGCAAGCTCTTCTTCTATTCAACAACATGAAAACAGAAAAAGACCACTGTCAACATCAAGCCCCATACCGTGAGTTCACGTTTCACACATTTAAAGTCTATTAATAATTCGATATTATTAACCTTGAAGTATTAAAAGTAAAAGACTTCACAAATTCAAAATCAACATATTATACCATTTATTCACAAAGTGTTTAATGTCCTGCAAAATTACATTCATTTAGTAATATTCATTCACGATTTCACTGAATTCTTTTTGTCTAATTTTAAATCTATTAGGACAAATCAAGAAAGGAACGATCATAAGAAAGCCGACCCTATTAATACACGTCGACGAAATTCGGAAACATCAGGAGAAAGAGAGAAAATTCGAACCACAAGTCAATCTCAACTTTGCTTTGGCAGTGTGGAAGTAAATCGCGACGGAATCACAAAATCAACGCTGGATGGTGAAACTATTGATTTAACCACTGTGGGCCGTGGAAAGGTCTTTCTGGAGACACCTCAAAAGAAGAGAGAATCAGATGACAAGCTAAGGTATGATAAGCTCATATTTTGATAACATATGAATTCGATACAAACAATCTAATTTTTCTTTATTTTGTTACGCGTGCTTAGCAGGCAAAGTAGATGAAACTATTGGTCTATGACGAGACATGGCATTTCGAATCGCATAGTAAATTATACGAATCGTTTCAAACAAAAATTTCGCATCGCCGACATCTTTTTTTTTGTTTGTCCGCCAAAGGTCGGGGTGAATCCCAATTTTTTTTAAGTTTTTTTGTAAAATGAAATTCTGACATATAGCTCTATTCTGCCAATTGAGTCATTGATGAAAAATGTTTCTTATTGTGTGTGAACACTCAGCCTGCAGTCGTAGTGATGGTTTCTTTGTTTTCAGTAATTTATGTGTCTGGAAGACCGATTACAAAAAAGTTGCATACAATTACATAACTTCGAAATTCGATTCGAAAAATTATTCTATTCAATATTGAAATCATCAGGTAATCGAAGATGCCCAGCCCTATTTATGACATGGTTCTCTCTATTCTCAGACAACCACAGAAACAGGATGAACAAACTCAAGCTTTATCTTTAGTCACTAACAAATCGCCTAAAGCTTCTGTTTCATCTTCTGCTCCAACCTCAATTCATCAGGACGTGCAAAAAATGGTGAATATGCCACAGATGATGGATTCGCTACATCCATTCATGGGATTTCCGCTAGTGCAAGGAAAGGTTCCATTCATCAATCCAATGGCTGACTTACCTGTTCCAACATCTTTTCCGAGAAGCCATCTCGGCTATCCATTTTCCAAGTTTCTTCCAGACGTAGTGTCAGGAATCTCAAAAGATCGTGTACGCAAATCAGATGAGGAGCATTCGTCTTTTTCATTTTCATCTTCGATGAATCCTCTCAAGTCGAGACAGAGACTTAAACCCCGAGTATCTCCTCAAACTGACGACAGAAGAATTTCTCCGATATCTGAACTAAAACGACGAAGAGACATTCCTACAACAGCATCATTCGTGGAAGCGTCCAATACCAGTGCATTCCGACCACACGACAGCATGCGTTCTTTAGCGGCTCTCCACCATGATACTACGCATTTGTTACGCCGCAGTGGCGGACCAGATCAAAAACCCCTGCAGCACCCACCTCCATTCAATTTGATGTATCCGTTGGGTTTTCCACTGTTACCCAACTTTCCCTCGAGTCCACATATTGCGGCGGCGGCTTTAATAAACCAAGCTAGAAGAAGTGGAGTAGCCGACTATGGTGATTTAACAAATGGTTCTTCCAGCCTACCTGCAGAGAGAATGCCGACTGTTCACCCGTCTCTTCGCAGCCAAATGAGAGACTCAGGAAATTATATGGGTAAGTTATAATATATAATTGTAGTGCGGTCGGTAATAGTGGACTTCACAAATACGAATATTGTCTCTTACTTGGTATATGTTTTGGTTGAAAAGTTCAAACTTAATTTCATTTTTTTACCTATAAAAGGTTGTTCGTTCGGTGCTTCACCAATGAATTTAAGGGATTCGGGAAACTATGATATGGAGGGAAGCAGCTACGCATTTCCAAGCAATATATCCTTTTTTGAAAAGATTTAAGATTACATTATATTTTAGGCAATCAATTCATTTATATATACATACATATATCTGAATGGCTCGTTTCAATCTTGTCCTCTTATTTAGGTAAATAATAATAATGGAATAATACATTCCGCAAACTCGTAATATTTTATAAAGTTCCTAGTAAAAATAGACGCCTATCTTCAATCACCATATGACTTATTAAATATGGCGTTTGCAATACGACGAGATCCAATGCTTTTGCAACTAAAATTCTATGAAAACCTTATAGTGATAAATAGTAACATAGGGTCGCGAGACGGAAGACATTCGTCGCTTTAGTCAGAAATTGAGCGTTTCCTTAGGCATTACTCTTCTCACGATATATCGACTTCCAGTTTATTAACATTGCGATCATAGTGCTGCGGGTCTTTTTTTCAATGTACGTCTTTGTAATACTAAGCATACCTAAAATCATCAGAAAATTTGAGTCAACATGGATTTCCTTTGTAGACAAAGGATCAGATTAAACGGCATTCTTTCGCAGTTTCCTCTGTCCTCACTTGTATATCTCTAACTACAATATCCTGGTTTAATCTCATGCGTTATTTTATTATAAAACAAAATGTGAATTCCACTTCAATTTTGGTGTATTTTGAAGACATTTTCTACCAAGGGTCAACTATTTGGCCACTCGTTTTTATTCTAAACAGTGCTATTCGTATTGACGATTATGTATGCGTGAGACTATGCTGGTAAATAGGTTATTGAGATGGCCAATATATTGCAAGATGGGTGTTTGCAAACAAATACTTTTAGCGTGCTAAAAGTCATTGTTCAATTAACAATAAGTTGCTATAAAATATTGCATGTTTTTTTTTATAATAATATGGCGGTCGTTTAAATAAGTTTGTTCAAAATATATTTGTTTTTGTCTGCAACACAAAAATAGATTTGCACAAGAACAAAAATCAAGTTTTGAATAGGTGGAAGAGTAGTACATGTCCTTCCCGTCGTATTGTTTTCATGAAGATCACAAACGAGAGATGTCAAATCAGGAAACGTCGATCTCGATTTGAACGTAATAGATCACAAGCAGTTCTACCAGCGTGTTAATAGGTCTTGTTGCGATCTAACGCAGAACAATAAATTCGTGGAAAATATTCGGCCCCTGCTGTCCGCCATGCGATCACTTGCAATGCATTGAAAATGTATTAATTCCGGTATACGAGTTACAGTGAAATCTAAAACGAAATAGTGATTGAAGATGATATTCACTTTGTTTCTATAAATATATGTAGTCTCTGATAAATTTTTGCCTTAATTATAATAAGCGTCTGAATAGTAAGCTAATACATGAGGAGCTATGCACAAGTATCATACAAGGAAATATGAAACCTGTTACAATTTTTCGCCTTTCGCTATGTATGTTTCACTTTTGAATAAATTGTATTTGAGTTCCTTAATTCTACAACACATGCAAGAAGGCCTTACTCCTCAACATTTAAAGAAAGCAAAACTGATATTCTTCTACACGAGATATCCGAATGCAAATACATTGAAGACTTATTTTCCAGACGTCAAGGTAATTTTTTTTTATCACAACATACTTTTATTTCCAGATGTTGATTGAATTCCATTATTCATAATTTTGTGAACTAAATATTTTTTTGTTAATATATATTAATATGCGCTCGGAACCGTGAATGGACTTTCAATAAATAAGCAATGCCATATTTGTTCTTATATGGGCTTTTCAGTTTATGCGTAAACATACGTTAAAATATACTTCCAATGTTCATGGCACACGACAGCGCTTTCAGAGCCCTTAACAGAAAGCAGTTGCACTTTATATGTAGTACTCGAGTAATTAACTTCTAACTCTATCTTAGCTACGTTTCCCAACCAAAAAAGTGAACCACAATCTATTTTATTGAAGATTGCGTATGGCCTCTAATTTAGTGTCATAGTCGTTTTATTTCTTGGATAAGTTGTATTAATATTATCATAATCGATAAAAATAATAACTATTTAGTTTACACGAGCGATCACATCTCAACTGATCAAATGGTTCAGCAACTTCCGTGAATTTTTCTACATACAAATGGAAAAATTTGCCAGGCAAGCGATTCAGCAAGGAGTCGTTGACCCTACAGTACTTAGGGTTTCTCGTGACAGTGAAGTTTTCAGAGTTCTGAACATGCATTACAATAAATGCAATGAATTTTATGTAAGTAGTTTCAATTTTCCATACAGAATTAGAATTAATGAGTAATATTCAGTATTTTAGAGTAATAAATAATATATCGTATTTACAAAATATATTTTAGTATTTATAACACTTAATGCAAAAAAACGTGGTCGATTTTTCACAATATGTCCTAAACGCAATATTACTTCGTAGAAATACTTGAACTAATTTACACTTTGTCCGACTTACACTATGATAGTAAAAATAGAACTTGAATATTTCTAATTTTCAGAACTATCATTCCTTGAATGGGGTCTGAAACGTCTTTAAATTGGAATACGCCATTTCATGTCTTATACAAAACGAACTAATATTTATCATTTGTTGGCCGACGTTAAATAAATTTCCCTATTTCACGTCACGTCACAGCGTCACGTTCGAAAACTCATAAATCTTATAGGCATCATATTACTAGGAAGTTAGAATTTTTAACTAGAAAGAAAGTGGATTCTTTCCATTTAATGGAATATTAAAACACGTAAATTGTAACTTTTGCTGATGGTCTAGATTTAAGTATATGATAGATATAGAAACTAGAAGACTTCTGCTTTTAACTAAGTGAAAATAGAAATGCAAAAATGAATAAAATGTTAGAGAATAGGTATCGACATTTTTATGTCGAACTAATATAATAGATAATTTCAATGTTTAATTTAAAAAACTATTATTTCGCCTAATTTGAAATGTTATTAGAATTTGTTTCCTTGGTGAAAGTGCCTTCAATCTATCGTCGTGTCTACCGCCATCACGTAACGTTATGACAGGGTCGTTTGATTAATAAAAAGTACACTGAAATTTATTTAATAACGAATAAAAATTTATATTTTACTGTATATTCGATCAAATGCACTGAATACATTCGTACAAAAATTTATTGCTTTTGTCATCGAGAATAATATAAATGAACTTCATTGGTTTTCTGTTTTTAAATTATGTGATTTGTGTCGAAAACGAAATATTCGCTTTACTTCGTGTTGTCGTTCTCTCACATGGTTTCGTTGGTAATATTTCGTTTCATACATCGCCAATTACAATGTAACAACTGCTTTGAAGGCAAACAAGATGTCAATCGCAACAAAAATATCTTCAATTTGTTACAAAATCGCGGTGTGGCCACCTGTTATGTGACTGCTTGTCGATATAGGTCTGGCAACACTTGAGCTCATATCTCACAATACTTGGAGTACTCTTGATGCCATGTAGCGATGCCCTGCCATATTTCACAAGTGCACTCAAGGCCAGGCAACGCATACACATCGGTAGACAAGGAATAAAGTTTCTATATCTATCTTCTCAACAATATAATTTCTTTCATCAAATTTGGGCCATACTTAACAGACCACGTGGGCTTTCATCCGGGTTCTCAAGTTTAATGAGGAGATTGGACGCATTCCAGCAACACCCGCGTATTTCGAGCAACGCCCTCACTCATTCGTCAACTTTTACCCGTCGCGTAGTGTCATAAGAGAGCGGGTTAAAGGTTAAATCGTCTGGATCATATGGCTCACTTCAAAACAAAAGATAGCCAGTCAAATGAAAAATTAAGTTACCCGTATATTGCATTTTGAAATATCAGTTTTAAACCTAATGCTAAGGTTAAATATGTTACTGGTACCGCTAATGGATACGACTATTCATATTTTCAACAAGTCATTTTGTATCCATTTCCCTTCGAAAACACGCCACTGTTGAGTGCGCCATATTCCGCTTTATTAATGATACAAATGCGACAAGTATCATCACTGGTCGAAGTTTTTTGTCAAGCATTTTGGCGTGTTTACCAGATCCCAAGTATTAGAGATATACCCCAAGTGGCACTTGTGAGACACAGATACAATCGTCAAGTGTACACCAGCTTGCTTCAATAGCTAATGTTTTATGATGGCTTCTTTGAAACTGTTTTACTATCATAAATATCCAAAGACGAAAAGACCGATCGATACACTTTACTCTAGTAGGGTCCGTTGCTTGATGACAAGTTGGGGACGTGGCAATGTTGGGAAGTGTTTCATAACACGTCTTTCGAGAAAAAATAACAATAGATCGTAATCTGATATTCTAGACTGGAATTCGCTGAAAAATTTCCACCTTGTGATTTCATTTTAAACCCAGTCTAATATCGTTTCTTGACTAAACTTTGAAATAATCTTTTGAGTATAAAGCGAGTTTAATATGTGTAAACTGTTAATAGTTCACCTATTAACCTGCACACATACAAAAATTATCTATTTGTCATGCGAGCTCATAAGAATGAAAATTTTGCAAGGTCGATGTGGGGCAAAATTAAACTTAAAATATTACAGATCATTTCCGTATATGTGTCAACTTTAGTCATTATTTAGATATTTAATTTCAAAGAAAGAATAAAAAATGCAATCTGTAAAATAGATAAAATAAAATAATTTAGGCCTGCAAAATCTGGTATCTCTTTTATTTCCATTTACTGCAAATGAATATCTAGCAAAGTCTCATTATTTTGCCTAATTTGATGACTGATAATTAATGTTATATACAAACATTTTTTGCATGAATTGTTCGTTTCCGCGTTGCCTACTTCTTGCCAAAATTATGACAATACCATCAGTATAATTTTGAGAATTATTTTAGTTCTGACTCCAATTTGAATCCACAGGCGAGGTGAACTTAAAGCGATATAGAATATATATGGCCGATTTGAGCAGCTGATCCAATATCTTTGAACTAATGATACTGATAAATAACTATTTATTTTATTTTTTATTGTTTCAGGTTCCAGAAAAATTCCTGCTCGCTACCGAGGCGAGTCAGCGTGAATTTTTCAACGCGGTTCGTGCTGGGAAAGATAGCGATCCGGCATGGAAGAAAGTCATCTACAAAGTTATTTGTAAACTCGATTCGGATATTCCAGAAGTGTTCAAATCTCCAAACGTTCTTGATAGACTTCATGAAATCAGAGAATAAAGCATCAAACTTCGTTAACGTTACCTAATTGCAATAGAATCTTGAGGTGCGGTTAACGAGAACAACTGACTCGCATGTGATCGCCATCTAGCGGATAGCTAAATGAATGAAACTAGTTGGAGAAAAGGACAAACGCGGACGGGTCTTTATGACCGAACAATGACGAAGCACATAAAAATATAGTAGATCTTTACTCTCCTTGGTGTCTCAACATTTTAATAATAAACTATTATTACATTTCAATTTAGGCATATTTATTATCGTCCTAATTCAGAGGATATTATTATAGGTATTATCAATAAATTTTCCTAAAAAAGCTCAAGTGTGTATTGCATATCAATCTTTTCAATTAGATAATTCAACTTTTTTATCAAGTTCAAATAAATTAGTATCTGTGACATCTAATATAATGATTGTGATCGCGCTAAACGTATATTGAAACTTGCTTGTAGTAAACTTATAGTAAAATGTATATATGGCTACGGTATAGCTCACTGCCAAGTTTATATTTTCCATTTGGTTTTCACAGAGCAAAACTATGATACAGCTGTGCAATAATATATATTGTAAAATCATTGTGCAAATACAACGTTCTGTCACTGCCCGTATACATACATATCATACTGTTGTAAGACCTCTGGGGGTAGTCTAAATCTAAATCATTTTTTTCTCTTATCTTACTTCAACTTAATTGAAACGTTAAACCAGTGGTCAACCCTTTATGGCCAGTGGCCCCCTTCCGGAGGCTATTAGCACTCGCGCTCCTGTTTATCATTTCAGTGGTATTTATAGGGTTATTTTCATTAGTATATTCCAATTCCTATTATTATCGTACAATTCATGCTTAACATGGGGACCATGGGCCCCCGATTGGTAACCGCTACGTTAAACTATGACTCCGAATTCTTAAAACTTACTTATTTATTTACTAGCATGATTGTTACTATTAGCCTCTAGTGATAGTTATTTTCGTGTCCGTGTTACGTATTTTCTATGTGAGCCTAAAGTTAACTACAATGTGTTTCTAGATCATCAAACGCTGTTGAAACTTCGGGCACTGACAAAAATAGGTGATGTTTAATATTGTGTTTCCTGCGTAGTCTGCTTTTCGTATCAGTCAATGTGGAATGCTTTAGAATTTTTCACTTGTATATTATATCGCCTTCTCATCAGTTATTCAAATCAGATTACTGCTATTTTTTGTTTATTTTGTTTTATGTAAGATAATTTTCGCCATTATTCTTCAATCTTTGAGTGATCCGCTGTGTTTTAGAGGTGTTACTTGATATTTACTGAATAAAAATCATAAATTGCTCATATTATGCTTGCTTAACACGGCAAAACCCAGGCTATCTCGTCGAATCGCAATGCTTTTGCTCACAAGGGACATAGCATACATGCCTCAAATATGCTAGAGACGAACCGTAAAGGTGCGTTTACACTGGATATGCCGCGGCCGCGCTCCTGGTCGAGCGACACAGATTTACATAGCGCGCGACTTTTTTGTATCGCTCGATGACGCCAGAGGCGGTTGCTTAGAAACATAGACGCGGGAAATTAGGTTTGGAATTTCGTCTGCCGCCCGCTTAATTATAAATAAAAATGTAGCTATCATAGGGTTGTTACCATATCTGAAAAGTCAAAATCCCCGACAAAGTTTATTTTAATGAGCCACATTCACCAATTTTCAATTTTGCATTCGAAACATTTATATTATGGTATAAATTAGCGATGTATCTAAACTGTCGTCGATTTATCGTGTGAATAGAATAAACACATAGCAAAACGGATCGAAATTGTTGCATTTCAGTAAATCAAATGCAGATTGTTTATCGTAAACAATAACCTTTATGAAAACTAAAAATAGCACAGAGTGACAATGTCAAGACAAGTACATCTGTTGGTAGTGCATGTGTCGACAATTCATGGCACGCGTGGTGATTTAATTTATTGGTTCGCATTATCATTTTTGTTTCTTGCATGCCGGTATGCCTATTTGCGTTTATTATGTTTTGAACCGCGATGTCTGTAGTCGAGAAATCAAAATTAGATGAGAGACAATTTCAAGAGTCGTGGAAAACAAAATTAAGGATTTATCCGTCGTAATGACAGAGCTGTACCAATGTCGTTTGCCATACCTCGAGTATTAAAAGTCATTTTGAAACCAAACACAAAAAATTATTCAAAGAAGAATAAAGCTCTTAAAAGGGCAGTTACTCCTTACAAAATACAAAAGAGCATTTAAGAAAAAAGTCAAAAACTACGGGTGAGGGTGCCATAAAGGCATAGTGTTACAGTGCAATAAGGATCGCCGAGAGACTTTCACCGTATATATTTACGCTTTTACCGATGGATCAATTTTGGTGAAATCAGACCCTTGTGAAAGCCTTGCTTCCTGTATTCGGATCTAGGTACCTGTGTGAACAATTTATTTTGCAAATAAAGTTTGTCTCGCGGCTGATAATTGCGAAGGTTGCGTTTAGAGAAAACCTACAAATTACAAGCCAAATATTAAAGCTCTGAGTGAGGAAAAGCAAGGACACAGATCCACTAAAATACAATGCTATTGTGAACATTTTTGTGTTTATGTATTGCAAATAACTTCAATGATTTGACGTGACTTGTGTGCAAACCACCAAACAAATAGTGCAAACCATCCAAGCTATTTTACATCAATCTGTACTGTACTCAGGTCTGACTACATAACGGGATTTTTCATCGGCACGCAAACGTTTATTTTGACATTGAATTTTACAGATTGTCACTCTGAAAAGAAAATGTTGCCGACCTCTGCGGTAGTGCAACCAAAATACCGATTACAATTCAGGTCATATGTGACATAAAAATTATCTGAATCCGACGCAATCCGTGTTGCACAACAAAGCCTTCATGTGACATATCGTAATATCTGAAAACTCGAGGATTTGTAGCAGGGATTTACTTTAATTTTTATTTAAAAATTCTGACATTTAAGCACATTCCAACATTTCTCCCCGACGCACATTTGACCACCAAAATCCGGGAAAAACTGGCATATGGCAACCCTGATATCAAAAAAGGAGATTAGCAACCGCCTTGTATTTAGCAACAATGAGGGAAGAGAGATCATTGGGTGCATTCTGTCTTAAAAAGGAGTAATGAGCTTGGCAAGTACAGATTATTGATTCTTAACAGTGCCTTAATAACTGTGATCGTCTTCTCTAAAAATATGGTCTAATGTAATCTTATCATGTTTCGTTCATCTATCTGTCTACTAAACAGTTGATAAAGAAATCTATGTTTCATGCGGTTTTACTTTTCATGCAGGTGACTACCATAGACTGGTCAAAAGATGCGCCTGGAAAGGCGTTTCATTTCATAATTAGTATCGCATGGAGCAGCCATGATTTAAGGCGTCTAAAGAGTCCTCGACTCCTCATATCATTAAAACTACAATCAATTTTAGGCAACCCCTACCTCCTGAGCGCTTGGGAATAACAATGAGGGGAGCAATATGAAAGTTTATATTCAATAAGGTAACAAAAAATATGTATACGAAAATATTCAAAAAAAATACATATCCACAGAGTAATATTAACAAACAAACTAAGTGAATATACTTATCAAATATTGAATATACAATAAAACTGTATCGTCTGCATGTACAACAAATTTCAGATTTTCAGCAACACGAGACTGGTACACAACAATTGCGGACTCCTACAGAACATCTAAATCAACTGCTTCTGGAATAGTTAGAGAAACATGCCAGGCAATCGCTCAAGGAGGAATACTTAAATCCGTGAACAGTGAGAAAATGGGAGAAAATCGCAGATGAGTATGAAAAAAAGGTGAAATTTCCCAAATCGCATCGGGAGCATAGATGGGAAACGCATACAAATTCAGAGCGATGGAAGTGTTCTCTCCCACTCAGGTCTTTGTAAGCTCTTAAATGAAAGGGCCCTGAATTTGCTTGGTGAAACAACGCTTGCTTAAAACTTCGAAGAGGGCTTCATATGTGATAGTGGGGATGAGGCTTTCCCACTCCAGGAGCATTTAATGAGACCTTAACCAGGAAGAAATTTGCTGATTGATCAAAAAGTTTTCAACCATGCGCCATCCAGGGCAAGACGTGTAGTAGAAAATGCATTTGGTATAATGCGTGGAAAGTTTTTAGGAAGGCCAATGGGTGTGTCACCACAAAACGGAGAGTTGGTTGTGAAGGCAGCATGCTGTTTGCATAATTTTGTAAGACACCATATATTGACAGAGGTAGGTGAAGTGGGTTGCGAAGATCTAGAGAGGGACAAAACATAATCATTAATTTATTTTTCCACCAATGCTGAGGATACATACGCAACTCACATATACCTGTAGAACAAAATAAGAATAGCATTTACAGGGTGGATGGAGATGCTAAAAAAACAGTACTGGTTATTGAGCAGCAACACCTAGATGGGTCTAACACAGCATGAAAAAAATATGAAATAAAAATACAATGCTTATTAAATCAAATATGAATATAGAAATAAAATAGTCACCCTAGAGCAGAGGTTCCCAAACTTTTTCAGATTGCGGCACACTAACAACAAGATTAAAAAGTCACGGCACAGTTAAAACTGATAAATCCCTTATCCTTATTAAATATCATGCGTTTTGACAGTAAATAAGATTAAAATAGGATTTCGCGGTTCAACTGTAACAAGTCTTCATCGTTTTTAGCTTTTAATTTTTGTCAGCGCAGAAAATTAATATTCACGAAATCATGTAAATGGAAAAATATTTTGTTGTACTATATATATTGTATTGCATATGTTTTACTGGTATACTGACAGAAACTACAAACTTGCATTGTTGGGTTGGCATTGGAAACGTATAACACATATATTAGAGAAGTGTGCCATATTATATCACCTATCGGTGAAAATAGCGAAATAAATCTTTATATAGGGTAACCCAAAAAAACAGAAACCCTGCAATATGCTTCAAATGGACTGGGTCCGTTTTTGGGGTCATCCTATATAAGTGTGGTATCGAACTACTCTCATTACTGATTTGAAATGTAATAAAGTTCATGTTGCAAAAATCTTAGGAATTTTGTGACAATTTGCGGCACACTTTCAAGACCTTGGCGGCCCACAGTTTGGGAAACTCTGCCCTAGAAAGGGAATTAGCATGAACAAGAGGGCAATAGTTTTGTGTCCCTGGAAGCAGCGTCAGTTCGTGACAACTTCAAGAATTATTTCATGGTTAATGAAGCTTGGCAATTACAAAAAGTCAGAATGGCATGAAAAAAAGTTATTTTTATCTAGTTCAGTTGTGATCGTTGGAAGAACATATTACAAAATGAATATACATTCGACATGCTATAAGTTATTATTTTAAGCTCAAATCGACTTGAAAAAAAACAATTATTCAAAATAATGTGATAAATGATCTTCTCTCTGTGATGTGTGACATAATGCATTTTACAATACTTGGAAATAAACTTACTTGAAAAAAGAATTTGTGATAAATGGAAGAAAATGACCGAAGCAGCAAGATGAAAATCATGCAATTACTCCACGAGTCCACAGTGATGTAATCAGGAATGGCCAAAATAAATAAAAAGAATACATTGTTATAGATACATAAATGGTATTTTCAAAGTTTTCTCAAGTGATTGTGAATTTAATTTAGTAATAGTAATTGAGACTTACACTGTTTTAATTGATTTTATTTTACAAGTGGAAAATTAAATCATTTCCTGAATTCAGCATCGTGAAGTAATTGCATGATTTTCAACTTTGACGAAGATGCACGTTCAGGAGAAAGTCTTTTCAGCTGTGGTAGAAGCGAAAGAAGGAACTGTTTGTCGGGGTCATCTAAAAATACAAATACGTAGAGTTGGAATTGATGTTCACATTCAATATTGTTATACGAATTCACTTTCATTATTTGAGATAGCTAGATCTTTCAATTTCACAACATACTAAATTAATTCTGGTCACACCATATCATACGTAAATCTTAGATAAATCATGAAACTAAAATGATTGAACATGTTAAAAAATTACCATCCTTCTCCAGGATGTTAAAAATCTTCATATTTACTTCCTCCTTTCTTCTTTTAGGAGGTGGTGTGAAAAAAATATCGTTTGATGACCTAGCCACTTCTTCCTCTTCTATCACAGCTGATTGAGTGACATCGGAATCAAAATTTGACGCCGTTCTATAATATGAAATAGAAAGCGCCTGAAATATCTTCAAACAAATTAAGAATTTATAAAAAACTGAACAGATTATAACAGTATGAAAACATATGTTAAATATATATTATTAGAATGGCACAAACTTTATATGATAGTAATAAATCACAGTTCAGTATTTCCCTTGCTATCAATTTTATTCCAAATAACTTACTTTCGATGCTGCACAAATGAATCTAAAAAACTCATGTTGTCGAATAGTTCCCATTTAGTGTTTAGTGCAACGCTCCCAGGTGCTCCGAATCTAATACTCTCATGTTTGTTTTTAATTTTAACAAACTTATCCCTCAAATTCTTCCATTTTTCTTTCGCTTGCTGTCCTAAATAGCATTGGAATGTTAGTCGCAAAAATCAAGATTTTTTTTTCTGATTTTCAAATCTTCTTGGCAAGGTGATTTCGGTGTTAAGATAAATCTAACAAAGTTGTAAAAAAGTAACTCACCTGTAACATCGAGCAATGCTCCAATCTCCTCCCAGTTATTTGATTTTAAATTCATATCCCTGTAGTCTTGCCGACTCATGTCATATAAACATGGCCTAGCTTGAACTTCATTTATTAATAATTCCTCGAATGACATTGTTTGGAAACTACAGGTAGCTAGAGGTATCAAGGTTTAGGAAGAATTCAAAATGCAATTGTTGTTAAAACTCACACAACGAATGACTGAATGATGGAGGATTCAATCTTCTCCTAGTAGCCTACAGTAATCCTTGTAATCTAATTTCAATGACGAAAAAATGAGCAAGGAAAAACGTACATGCTCTAGAAGTTCCATAAAAATTATGATTTAATTAGAAATTATGCATGGTCAAGAAGGCGTATAGAAATTGTATAGTTCAGACAGTCTCAGTCTGAAATGGCTAAATTACGGGACTATGAAGTAATAAAACCGAGCTCTAAAATTTATCTACTTCTAGACTAAAGGTGCATGACAAGTGGTTGAGTTTTTCTATATGCTTGAAAAGACGCTTACATCTGTACATTGAAGAAAATACATTGTTTTTCGCTGCATTAAATTTTTTTTCGTTTTGCCCGCTGCATTCACTGCTGCAAAGATGGATAGATAGTTTAGGGTCTTACTACTTACTGAATACAGCGCGAAACACCGCAAAGAGCGCAAAACAGCGCGAAACACCGCAAAAGAGCGCGAAACAGCGCAAACCAGAGGAAAACAGCGCGAAACAGAAGGAAACCAGCGCAAAACAGCAAGTGCAGTTATAAGTATTCTATGGCGTCTGCAGCTGCCGCAAAACCATGGCGGTATTTCCATACCATGGCCGCTACGGCCAAACCTATGGCGACTGAATTTTTAGCTGCCACAAACCAATGTCGAGCTGCCGTTACCGCGGCAGCAAATTGAAAACCAATGGCAGGTAAAATTTTGCTGCCGTAACCGCGGCAGGTGGGCCGTAAGGACAGGGCTGTCCCTTAGGGTGACAAATATTGGGTAAGTTGGAACGTTTTTCTTATGGATACAGTCTTGATGGATTTGGGGTTAGGGTTAGGGTTTAAGTAGATATAATTCCCCATGATCAATTAGAATTTGGTACATTAGTTTGTGAATATACCGTGAATACAGAATAGCGCTATAAAACCATGGCAAGAGCTGCCGCGGTTCGTTCGTGGCAGGAGCTGCCATGAAGTGGTAAGAACTGCGCCTCCAAAACAGAGGGAAACAGCGCAAAACAGGAGACGCAGTCGTTACCATCTCCTGCCACGAAAGAACCACGGCGCCTCTCGCCATGGTTTTATGGCGCTATTTCCGGTATATTTACAAGGTTATGTACCGGATTATAGGTCATCATGCGAAATTTTATCTACATTTTTGGTGCTCCAGAAGTATGTGCAGCAATATGTCGCACAACCTGAATCCGCAACACACACACACACACACACATAATATTTTCAGGTTGTGCGCCATCTTGGTGCACAAACTTCTGGAGGTCCCTTTTTACCTAACCCTAACCCTAAAGCCAACCATATCCATATGGAAAATGTTCTAAATTATGGTACCCAAAATGTGTCACCAGCAGGGGCAGACCTGCCATTACAGCATCACTGGCTACATACGTTGGTTTGTGTTTTTTAATTTTACTGCCGTAGTACTCCAACGTAAAACAAGGTGCCCCGAACTCATTGCAAAATTTTTTTCTGCTTCACACTCTGTTTCCCTCTGTTTTGCGCTCTTTCGCGCTGTTTCCCCACTGTTTTGCGCTGTTTCCCTCTGTTTTGCGCTCCTTGCGGTGTTTCGCGCTGTATTCAGTAAGTAGTAAGACCGCTTGAAAGCACATTATACCGGTATCCATATTGCCCGTACAATCCAAAAATGCCAACATCACTGGTTCTAAACAAACTTAAGACACATTCACCCATTTGACATTCACCGTAGAGTACAGATGGCCGCGGTATAACCTAGTTCGGATACAACACTTGCCGATAAACATTTTAGCCTAAGGCAAAACCGCATCAGAAGGCAATCGACAAAGGGCACAAAAAACAAACTGAAGCGCCACCGCTGGGCGCCACGCTTTGCGTGTAAACGACGTTATTTGAAACGGGCGCATGCCGCATACGTCGAAGCCAAGAAATTATAAAAATATATATAGAAAGCTCTCTTGGTGCCAAATGTGCTTATGCTTGTACATGGAATTTCCACCCAAACCGACACATTTTGGCAGAATAAGTCACGAAACAGATGATATCACAAATCAAATCTGTCTTCACCATCTTGTCCGGAATTCTCGAAAACGCATTGCAACTCAGGTAATGCGTTTTCAACATCCGAGTGCAGCATAATCAAGTTGTAAATGGAAAAATATTGATTAACTAACCATGACCACACAAAGTAAATGTGGAAAAATACCCAGTTCACCAAAGTTCAGCGGTCTTTGTAAGTTCGATGGAAATCTGGCTATGGAGCGTTCAATCTCTTAAACCCAACACCTCACCAATGGAATAATGGACACGGTAGACACTACAGAACTGAAGAAGGTAGATGCTCTAAGTATGAGTAGATCCTCTGTGAGTGGACACACCTTGTATTGAATTGTTGGCTTCTACAATCCCATAATACTTACACCTATGTATTAAAAGATACTGGAACTTGGCATTTTATTTCAGTGTTTCAATTACAGACCAACTACAGGGTCTGTGTCGGTTTGGGTGGAAATTCCATGTACAAGCATAAGCACATTTGGCACCAACTTCAAATTATAAAAAGAATTGCCCCCCCCCCCCTGTAAACAATAGCTTAACGTATTTGTTTTTAGTGTTCACTTTATTTATTGTGTTCAGTGTTCACCTTATTTATTGTTCAATAATAATCCAATAATAACAGTGGTACTTCGGGTGTCGCTGCTCGATAACCACTTTTGGTTCCCCGCCACTTCCCTTCCCCAGTAAAATTGTGTACTATTTTCTTGTAATTTGTGCCTGTGCTATTTATTTATTTTTACTGGTTGGAAAAAAATAAACTTGATTGATTGATTGATACAGGTACCAGATTACGCTGGAACTAAGACGCCACAGAAGAATCATCAATAGTTGTCAGGACTTCAGGCAGATTTGCTTCCTCTGCTTTTGAATCGTCATCCACAGATTTCTGCTTACCGCTTGTCCGTTTAAAATAAACTATAAGTTCGCAGTGTGGAGTTTGAGGAAACAAGTCTACTGGTTGAGCACAGTATGGTAGGAATGGTAACCCAGGCATTCGATTTGACGCAGGCCTACATAAGCTGGTAAAACACAGAATATAATTTATAATATATCAGGGATGTGAAGTCAGAACCAGAATTGTATTTTCATACAACTCAGAATCGAGAGTCATAGCAGATATTTTGAAATCTTCAAAGCCAATATTTCAGACTAATAATTCTAAAATTAAAGTCAAAATTTACGACAAGAATTGATGGTTGGATTCGAATGGTTCAGAATTTGGAATCAGAGTCTGGTATAAATTTGCTGCGGGCCAGAGCCTTGGTTAATATATAGAAAATGATGATTCAAGACAAAAGGTTAAGGACTACTATAAAGAGGTATCTTGGGGCCTACAATTTTCTGCACATATAAATGCCATGGTATGCATATATTATGACTTGCGTATAATGGTTTTCACAGCGTGACAAACAAATTATCTCTATTTAATTTATGTGAGATTTCATAAAATGAGACCTCAAAATACCGAAATTCTTTAGAAATTCCTAATAAATACTCACTCAATAAAATTATTGCTGGCAGAGTTGGCATTGCAAGAAACATAAATTATTTTCTGTATGATTGGGCATTTTCTGAGACACTGAATCACCTAAAAACAACACACCCCCAGAGTTAGGATGTTTTATTAAATACCTGTTTCAGAATGATGTCAGCAGATAGAGACCAGAGATAATTCTTATGCTATGTATTGTAAACATATACTTGAACTCTAATTTAAAAATGAGTGTGGACCATTAAATAATGAAGACATCCATTGAGTCTGCCCAGAATCGGATAGTTCATATACTAGAATTCACTTTGCTGCGAATTTCAAATATGAAAGTTCTAAATGCAACTGTATTACAACAAAATCATACTGTAAACAAAATTTACTCAGTCAAACTTGGCATCGCTTAAAAACTATAATTCCCCTGTAGAAGCAAACAAAAATTTTGACACTCTGAATTTTTGATAGAGATCATTTTCAAAAAGCATTATTTTTTCAAACCTGATTTATTAACTTTTACATCTCATTAGAATGAATTAGAATATTCAAATGTTATAAGGAACGCACATGTATTAAAAAAATATATGCAAAAAAAATATACTACCGGTAAGAATTCGCTGAATATGGACATGTTTAACCAAGCCAATACAAATATACCAGATCGAATGAACTCTCTCAGCTTAGGAAGTGTAATAAAAACATACCTTGGTATGTAATCCTGGGCGAGGGGGATCAACTATTGCAACAATTTCATTTTCATGATTGATTGAATACTTTTTAACTAATTGTGGAAGAAGATCTTCTGCTTTTCCACAATGAAATTCCACATTTTTAACATCTATGTAGAAACAAACATTCACTTGTTATAAAAATTAGTAGAACATTTTAAATAGGACACACAAAATTTGAATACAATACAGTTTTATCAGAATAGTATTCAGTTTTTAATGCTTCCAATTATTAGGTTTTGGAGGGCTGACCTTCAAGCGATACAGCAAAAAAAACTCACGGTGTTAGTAGTCTTAAATTTTATTCTGGGATGAAAAAGGAGACCTTGCCCCTTATATCTAACTTGTTATAGGGAGTAGGCTTGCACGTAATTTACGGATTTACGGAATTACGGAATTATTTCGAGTTACGGAAGCGAAGTTACGAATTACGTAAATTCGTAATTATTGGTGGAGCGCTTTCGCGATTCAAACGAGCTCTCTTTAGAGCAGTCAATTCCGTCGATTGTAAAAAATTAAAGTTTAATAAGTAGAAGAAGTTAGAGTTCCGGTATTCGCAGCCGTTTTTCTCTCTCTTGTTACGCAGATGGAGAAGGCATAACGCGTTGCCATTTACTAACCTATTATCAACTTGTCTAGCATGGCAAATGTACATATTAAGCGTAGATATGGGATAGAATTGTGTTGAGACCGATGAACGCCAACACACCTGGTTTCAACTTCTTCGGGTGAAATGACTAAAGAATGTAAGAGATCAACTTACCAAACATGGTCTACTTGTAAATGCCGTGATAATTAATGTCGCGCTTATCAAACAGCAATATGATGACGGAAGAGAAATTGCGTAATGAACCAACGCAACTTAGTCTTTTCGGCATCGGTAAAGCGATTGAGACGGCAGAGAAACAACAAAAAGACGGGATTTCCCATGTTTATTCTGGGCGAGATCCATTTTCTATTACAAAATCTTGATGTTCTGTTACCGGTTTTATCGTTATATATCTGTCCGGCCTTGGCCTTGTTTTCACAATGCCTCGCACTATTTCGGCCAAATATGTCTTTACCAAATGCGGCAACTTATTTTGATTTATCGTCGACTCAAATACCACCGGCACTCGACCAAACTTGTGTCAATCTTAGCCGATAGGATTGTCGACTTGAGTTAGAAAAGTAAATTAATATTTTCGTGAGTGCAAAATAAATGTCACCAAATGCATTGTTTTGCGATATAACTTTGTATTTTCGGAGAAGGCATGTCATATAAGTACGGTATTTAAATTATGCGCAAATAATTAATATTTGATCTAAATTTATCGCAAATAATGTCATAACATTTAGGCCGCGAAATGATTTAATGTAAAATGAAGCATGGTAATCGGAATATCGTCAATAACGCATGATTGCCACCAGGTATATTCATGTCAAAGATAAATAAAGCACAGCCGGTGTATAGCAAAACGATTTTTTTTTTCAGTTTTTCATGCCGTTTAAATTTTACTATCTTTTTATTTTTCTACTCTATATATATACGATAGTGTACTCTTCATATCATGCCCTGATGAAGTTTTTCTGAATAGAAATTCGAAACGTCGGCAAATTATATCGTTTTGCTATACACCGGTTGTGCTTTATTTATCTTTGACATATCGTCAATAAGTCGGCATCAGTAATTATTATAACATGCTAACTAGGTAGTAAAGTCGGATAATGTAAAAAAAACGGTACAATAACAAGTCTTCGTCGCGAGGCAAGCGCAAGTATAATCAAACGAGAGGATACGCTCGTCGTTGATTTATAAATTAGAAACCCGGAATTTTTATTTAATACGAAACACGTATTAATACGTTGATACGATTTAAAAAAGTCAACTATCGTTTCATAAATATATTACCACTTACCAGTGCTGGTAATGCTAAAATTGATCGCATAAAATTGGGTGATAAAGTTAATAAAGGAAAATCAAAGCTAACACAAAAGATAAAAATCAGAATAAAATTAATTTGAATTCACTCCTTGATATTTGTCTTTAGCATCTGTCGCCGGCGTGTAGTACTGGCGGAAATATGGAAACCAAAAATATCGCAATTACGGGGTCATTACGTAATCGATTTGGCCGTAATTACGGAATTAATTTTTGTCAATTACGTGCAAGCCTAATAGGGAGTGGAAAATGTTATTTAAAAACAACTTTTTTATTTATACAATACCGTTAATTTCAGCATTTTTCTTTGCATCATCAACAGCAGGTTGACATAACTCAATCCCAACAACGTGTTTAACTTTCGATGCAAGTGATAATCCGATAGTTCCAGTTCCACAACACACATCGAACAATATAACATTATTCTTCATATCTAAGAATACAACTCTATTACTTAAATTGATGATACAATTGGAAATTATCAATAATGAAATAGCATTGTTTTATTGTCAGTAATAAACTGACAATTTTTTTGCTTACGAAAGGGCTACCAGAAAGAATTAATTTCGAGGTAGAGTTTCTACTGTATTCATTTATATATATTCATTATGGGAAAAACGAGTCAATCTTTATTGCAAAAAATATGGTGGCAGGTAATTAAATCAGATCGATGAATTTATGCATATGCCATCGCTGGTTTCATAAAGTATAAACTATGTTAATTACCGAATAATAATCCAATCCAATTTGAAAATAGTTGATCTTGAAAATACAGTACCATAAACTACGAACCTGAATCCTCAATATGATCTTCTTCAATGCCTTGCTCACTCTGATCTTTCTCTTCCAATGTCTCTTTGTAGTCTTGAACATAACCAGGCTGAAGCATTTTACCAATGTTTGTATACAAAACTTCGGCTGCAGGAGTATTGCACTGGAAAAATAATTTTTAATATTGGCCATTTCAATGCAATAAACTGCCCTAAATAAGTGCTCATTCAGTCTTACATCTTGCCTTTATGTATTAAATTGGATGAAATATAACTACATATCCAAACTCAAATTTTCAGAATATAATTGTGTTGGTTGTGATTGGTATGTGTACCAGGTTATGGTTCAGGATGTGTGACATCTTGGTGCGCCAATAGTCATTACTACAGTAAGCTAAGTCAAAATTATCACATTTTTTGTTCAATTCAAGAATTCATAGTCTCATCATGTCATAGTCTCAGAACTATGTAGAAACAGCAGTTTATATTATTAATACTATTTGTGATTTATAAGAATATTAAAATTTATTGAAGAAGGCTAATGAATATGAATGACTACTTCAGTATTGTCAAGAAGTTGCCATTAGATTTTATTATGTATTTAGTCTTCATGTTAAATGAATGAAAAATCTGAATTCCTTTACAATTTAAAACGTGATTTAATATATAATAATTGACTTGAGTAAAAAATAGAAATTGGCAGTATCACACGTCACACCATTAGATTTGATGCAAAAAGGTCTGTCACAAGTTAAATACCTTAAAATCACAGTAATATTTAAATAATTTTATTCAAAATTTCAGTTCAAGTCATGTTACAAACCATCGTGCATGCCAAATATATACCCATTGGCAGATAACTTTATGTAAATCAAATATTATCTTATTCCAGTAAAGCAGACCTGGAAAAATGCATCTGGAGAAATACGAAACTTCAAGCCAAGTAGATCTTCCGTAATAAAACCACTACCAAACAAAACTTGAGGTGCTTTTATTTCTTCTCCCGATCCTCTATGTGTGGGTATAGACTGATATAGAAGTGTCGAAACCAGTTGATTCTCAGGTTCAGATTTGAAATGCTCTTTTAATGCATCTCTTTCTTTTATCTCTTCTTCTTCAATTAAATCCTTGGATAATGAAGATAAGTCTTGTTTAAAGACAGAGAATAATATGAAAGAGACATTGTGTTCATACTGACATAATTTAATATTGGCATAAAGTTCCTAAAACGCCGCTCCAGAAGTGTGTGTACCAATATGGAGGTAACTAATTTTGTTCGCCTACTTTACACCAAGTTGTGTACAGGGACTAAAACCTATGGGCCAAGTGAATATACCCCCTATATTCACTTGGCTAACACAGACAGTCCACTAACTTGTAATAGAACTAAAATAAGGAAAATCAGAATAAAATTATGGCCTAACCCTAACCTGGTACACACACTACGAGAGTACCCCTAAAATTATTTGTAATTATCATTGAATCTCTGTCAATATTAGCCTACACATACCGAGGACCAAAACAAGATGGACAACAATGGTGAATACATTATTATTTTCTTTGTTTTTCAGTTTTCAGAAATAAAATGAAGGTCAATTTGGCCATACCGGGAGATTTTGATTGCTCAAAAATGATAACTTTTTTGCGCATTCTCGCCCACATTCATCTTTTCAACTAATTATAACATGAATGAATATTGATAAAAAAAAGGAATGAAACTACTACTTTTTTGAGCTCATAGTGGTTGACTACAACTCCTCCATCAGTAATATATGTGATTCTATTTGAGGGAACAAAGAACAAAAATTATCCCACCAACAAATAAGTTTCAATAATAGCAAATAATTCGAAAATTTCACCAACCTTCTGGCTTGTAATAACAATTGCCATAGCTTCACCAGATAAAGTTGTTTTTACAGTCAGTTGCCTCCAATGGCCTTCATATGTCTGAGGGTTATAACAATCTTTATCAGAAGATCTAATAAATTCTTGGAACTTTTTAGCAATTTGCTTCATTTTGTCGGGTAAAATCATAATGCCATCAGTTTCTTCTACAGCACAAGTTTGGTCTCTGATACAGAAAATGGAAAATCGTTTTTTAGACAAAGTGTAAATGGCTTCGTGCAAAACTATATTATATTATTTATGTTAAAAACAAAAATGAAGAGTCATGAAAAAAAATTTGATACTAATTATGATTAATGTACTATAAATTGAAAAAGAACAACAAGGAAGCCCAAATTAAGAAATAAAATAAATTTTGAAGAACATAATCTAATTACAGCAATTTCCCATTGGGAATGGATACTAAGCAGGGCTGGGGAACTGAAGCTGTGACATTTTGATGGAGTTGAAGCCAAGCTTACCATATGTGATAGAGCTGGAGCCAGAGCTACCAGAAACTTTAGTGGCTCCAGCCCTAGCCATCTAATTTTTTCACAATCATAGTTTTCTAATATTTCATTCATTCTTATATGAATATTAATTCATAAGTTTGTTGAATTTGTATATCTGAAATTTAAAAGATTAATTTTAAAATTTAAGCTGATGTTTCATGGCAGTGGTCATACCAAAAAACATCAATGGTGGTAGATCCGAAGTCCAGCTCCGAGGCAAAAAATAAAGCACTAGAGCTGGAGACGAAGCCATTATGATTTAGGATTTCTAACCAGCTCCCCGGCCCTGGTGTTAAGCGTCCTATATAGTTTCCTTTAACAGCTCAAATATAATATAAGATACCAGTACTTTAATCCTGAGCTCTTCAAACTAGGTGTCCAGACCCCCAGTCTTCGGATCGCGAAAGGACTTAAAGGGTGTCGCGGTAGAATCATTTTCGACACCAACTCATGTTAAAACAAATCATTGATCAAATTTAAAGATTTCGAACCCTGACTCACCATCCCGAAATAAAGCCAAGATTCGATCTTTTGTGCGAGAATGTGCACGACCATCAGTCTCATCGAAGGTATTGTCAATTTTATTACTTTTTTTCAATATTTTCTGTATTATTAAATTTTACTTTATTTTAGGTTCAAGGGTTGCGAGAAAAATGTGGCCGTGCCAAGTGGGTCGTGATGATGAAACAGTTTGAAAAACACATTTACCTTAAATCAGTGTTTTTTAAATTTTTTGGCACAGGCAAATTTTTTCGCGACCCTCAGGAACTAAAATAAAGTAAAATTCAATAATCTATTGAATAAAAATAATGAAATATACAGTGAAAAAAAGTACATATAATTGCTGATACCTTTAATTTTCGCACAAAGGATTGAACATCGGCTCTATTTTGGTGATGGTGGATCTCAGTATAGGTTTCAAATCTTTCAAATTTGATCAATATTTTGTCTTAACATAGTGTCAAAAAAGATTACACCGCTACCCCCATTGAGCCCTTCGCGGCCCACCAGGGGTTTGGGAACCCCAGTTTGGAGAGCTCTGGACTCCAACCTATATTTTCCCAGACGATATCCAAGAGTTTTTTGACCGGCTGTGTTCACTCCAGCAGTAAATTCACTCTTGTTTCTGTATTTAGATACAACAGGAGAAGGCAACACTGAATGTAGTTGACAACACATTCCATTATATTCAGCCTTATTTTTCATAATCCATACAAATACCTATTCAGGGTAAAAAAAATAGTAAAATACACTAAAAACTCGCAGGTTTCAATATAGGTACCTGATTGGGAGATTCAGATTCGATGTTACCATAAATTTATATTCATTATAAATGATTCTAAATTTGTTTTTTACAAATCTAAATATTACAAGTCCTATTTGATAAATTATTTCTCTCTTTCATGTATAATGATTTAGCGAAACATGGATGGTAATTAATTATATGACCAATCTTAATTAATTTTCCCAGCACCTCATTATCCAGATTATGCTTTCCCAATCTGCTTCTTAAAATACAAAGAAAATCTTTTATAGCAGAATATTTTCTTGTTAGTTGTTCTTCATATGGAACATCGTGCCATTTTGTAGTATTTGTCACAATCAATTCTGTGAAGCAAATAAATTTTGACTAAATAACAGGTGAAAAATTAAGTTTATAAATAATTCCAAGTGACAAAAAAGGCACACTGACTTTAAGATTTGAAAGGTATCGTTATTGAGAATGGATATAGAATCACAAGGATCATGTATGTTTAAACTATCCAAATGAAAATCATTAAGCATTACAAAAACTCCCTATACTGGTATATTTAGAAATGTAGCAATGAGATTAAGTCTGTTATTTTCATCAGATAGGGCTGAGCAAAATATTTTTCTCTTTCTTTTTGATCCTAACGTATTGTTGCAATTCCTTATTTTCAAAAAGGGCACAGAAACGTCAAACCAGATAAAGTATTTAAAATAAATTTTTCAGATTTTTTCAACCCGGTGGCACGTTATTAGCCATTTCATGCTTCTTTTTTATCAGCCGGATAACACATATTAATCAGTGAGATATAACTTTTTACCAGATGGTGTCAATGTTGACAAACTATCATCTTCCACAGATCGATTTTTTTTTGGATTACGAGATTCTACATCATCATCATTAGCGCCACGTTTTACTGCCATGGCATCAGACTTTGGTTTTGCACTTTTCACATCAAAAATGCAACGTTTGTATTCATATCTGAAAACAGAGGTAATGACTTTATATAAAACACATGTATAACACTGGAGAGCATAAATAGACAATGCACAAAGCATCATAAGATATAGGAAGATTCCTCCCAACAATACCAAATTCATGCTGATGTATTTTGCGTGCACGAATTCGCTCCTGTGCTAAAATATTTATGTGCGAGAAGATTGCTAGACTCCTTGACATAGTAGGATGGTTCACGTTACTGCATCATGAAGTGCTTACTCCACCATCAAGTTAATGGCAAGAGGCCATGGTACCGTATGCCAGGTAATTTAGCAGTCCTAATGCCATTCCTCTGCCAAAGGATAAATATGAAAACAAAATCCAATAATATGCTATTTAGCTATGCTTACTTGGACAATTTTTCTAATGCATTGTTTTTGTCTTCTTCATTTCGAAAAGTCACATAGATTTTTCTTATATTGGGAATATGCTTGATTTTATGAGGATTCAATTTCAATTTGTTCTTTAACAACTTTTTGCATTCACCTGTAACAATATATTAGTAATGAATTAGAAACTACATATTATGATTTCAAATAAATCCTTTTTACATTCAACAAACTTTTCTTCGAAAAGATGACTACCGTATTGCAATGTCTTTGACGAAATAATATTAAACTCTTAACTTTCTTGCTATGCCTTATGCGAAAAAAAAAGAATTTTAGAATTTAGAAATCTCAAAATATAGCTGTTTGAAGTAGCAAAAAATGTAAATTTTGTTAAAACCTAATTATATAATAAGTCTTTGTAAAATGATAGACTATAGCCTTTTTTACCGAATCCAAAATATTTCGGGATATTCCCTATTTCTATTTTGAATGCTTCTGATGTAAATTGGTCTCTATTGATGTAGGCAAATTCTGCAGACTGTTCTGATCCATTATTTGGTTCTTCATTTCCACCACCATTTGCAGCAACTGGTTGGTCCGAATCCATATTTTCGCACTATCAATACTTGAACTCTGAAATGCTACAACAGTGCAGTCAGGATACCGTGCGCATTTTGATTCACCCAAAATAGCCTAACAGCATAGGTCAGAGGTTAACACTAACGATGACACGAAATGTCATTTGTCGCAATTGAAACATAAACCTCAAGAATGTCCGGAACAACTGCGCCCTGTCGAGTTTATATTCACATGACCTCGATAATACTTCGGCATACTTAAGTCTGACAATTCTGCGACGACGAAACTCCAAATCATTTGAAAATAGTAAATACTTTGGCGCCAGGTTGAAGAAAATTTTGAATCAGACTTTTGAATTCTGGTAACCGTGTGAGTAGGGTTGGGACCCCGGGAAATCCCGATCCCGAAATCTCGAGATTTGGACTATTTTTTTTTTTCAAACCCGATCTCGCAATTATTTTAGGATTCACCCAATGACTTTGCAGGGTTTTATTCACTATTTATTACAAAAATAAAACAGCCACACATTTGAAAAGTAGAATCAAAAAGGGCAACTATCGTCTCCATAAATATCCGCATCCCGCGTCAGAAATGATAATATTTTTAGCTTAAAATTGGGACAGTTAATTTACAAAGGGTGTCAAATAAGATCAAAGCCGACCCACAAGTTAAATTGGAATAAAATCCCGAATTCGACAATTCGTTAAAATTATTCGATTCGATGAAAATATATAGTTTTCTGATCACCCTTGCGATCTGTAACGCCAGTAAATAATAAAAGTAAAAAAAAACAGTATTGAAACGCGTGATAGTCCAAACACTGATTCGATGAAACTTAATAAAACCTTCATAAATTTAGTAAATTGCACTACCTCACGAAACCGTGGTGGAATTGATTATTCCATATCTCGAGAACAAAAACGGTTATCTTTTTCGGTTAGTTTCTGCGGTCTGAAAAGTCGAATAAGCGTTTCGACCAACGACTAACATACCGGTTTCGGCAAAGTAAATGCCATAATCTTTGCCATCAAATTATCCTCGGGCCTTGCACGAAATTCCTAACGTGAAAAGATACGTCAGGCTGTGAAAATTGTTTATAACAACTTTAAACCTATTTAGTGTTTTTAGTGATAATAATTTGTTGTAATGAAATAAAGTTTGTTTGCCACTTTCATTTCTCTCGCAACTGCCGACAATGACATTATTGAATTGATTCAATGGGAGAAACCTATTGAATTGTAACAAACATGAATAAGATTGCGAATACATGTGATAATAGTAAAGGCGTAACGTGCAACAGAGAAGGCCGAGCAAACCGAAGCGCGTGATCGGCGGTGCGTTTGAGGACCACGTATTACCCGTGAGCTCGCGCAACTTTTATACAATAATGTAAGGTGCTCCGAAGACGCTCTCATTTACGTTAATGTAAGTAAAGAGTTCTAATATCGGTAACTATTAACATTTTGTTCGCTTTCGGCTATCGCCCTCTTTATCGGTAGAAAATGTTCGTGTTTTGTGATAGGTGTGCCGCAAATAATTAAAGAGCTAAATAGTGTGCCGAGACATAATAAAGGCTGGGAACCACTGCTCTAATATCTCTGCGTCAATATTACATGTAAAAAATACGTGATTTTATTGCCATGCAAGTTGTTTCAATTTTTTACTTAATCCCGGGATTATACGGCTCAATCCCAGGATATCCCGATACCGGGATTTCAAAAACTGGTCCCGAAATCCCAACCCTACTTTTGAGAGACCGTATTACTGGTATAGGCGCGGCGGTGTGGCTCATCGTGCTAAGCGTTAGGAATACGCTTGCCACCGGACCTCTGATTACTCTGCGTGGGTTCGCAGGTTCGAATCCCATGCAGGTATGGTTACGTGCGAGAGGATTGTTGAACTCCTCGCCGCCGTAGGGTGGTTCACGTACGATAACCGCTGGTAGGTTACGGCTTCCTCCGCCATCAAGTACATGCTTCCGAAAACAAATAACTAACTAATCCCATGGCCGACATGAAATGGTAACCGGACGGAAAGCCGTTGTTCGCCATATGATTAAGCCGCCTAATCGGCTTTCTTCTCCCCCGGGATAAATTTGTAAATTCTATCCTATATGATCGAGCGTGGATTGCATGGTCTTTTATGGCTTCATGAGTATGACTATCGTCGCCAATTTATTACATTCCACTCCCCACATTATCTTTGAATGAGATTGTATTGGTCATTATCAACGTAAGAGTTAATAGTACAACAGCCCGAAAGTTTAATACTATCGTGTATTTTGTTTGTTAAGTTTGGCCCAAGCCTCATTTAACTGGGCTTGTGTTTTTGTGTCCGTGCTGGTGGGCAGGCACACGAGATACTTTCCAAAATAAATTATCTAACTATTATATGTTCAAGCCACGTCGCGAGTGGCGATGATAATAACAACCGTAGGATTTCCGGTGTGACATTTCAAGTTGTTTTTCGATTAAACTGTCTCGTTTGATGTTCTCTTATCGTAACCTTGGATCGACTATTTTACACCGATTATACCGTCTCGCTTTCTGACTTTGGTATAACCTAAAAAGTAATAGGGAAAAATGTGGATCAGAATTTAGGCTAAAACACGATAAAGAAATCGATTCGAATGAATTTCAAAGCAATTGGTCCAGTAATTAATGAGAACATACGTCATCCAAAATTGTGATAATTCATGTTTGAAGCATAGCCTACATTTCGCAAGCCTGCAAGCGCTTGGTTTCGTAAAATATGAGGAGATCCCTTTCATAACGATCAACCGATTTTTAAATTGTACCGGTAGGCATTCTTTCAAGATTGTTCATTTGAGCTGGATCTACAAAATCTCGAATGAAACTTGGCACACGTGTACAGTAGCATCCCCCATCAATTTTGCAATGTCAGTCGTTATTTCCGCAATCCCCATCACAGAAACATGGTGGTGTACATGCTAAATCAGCACGGAAACATTTGCAGCGAGCGGCACAACCTTTCTTGCAGCCACAATGAATCAGCTCTGTGCAAATTTTTGCTGCTTCAGGAATAGTCATCCATCTTGGTAAAAATTTGTCTCCTACTTTTTCCCATCCCCATCTCTGTGCATCGGGTAAATTTTGTGAAACCTCTGTTGCTTTGCTCCAAATAAGCACATCTTGGAAGATTGCTCTACGTATGTGTTGCAGCAAGGAATTTGATGTAGGGGGCATGTTCTCTGGCATTTCCCCTTTCTTTGTAAACAAATGATGTCGTAGCTTATTAACCTGAAGGCAAATAAAATAGTTATCCGAGAGGAAAGCCTCTGCTTCTGAAGTTTGTTAAATATCCAAAGAGTCTAAATTATTTTTTGGCTTACCTAGCTGGCACATGTCGATAGATAGAGGTCGAAATGTTGTCGATTCTAGTCATCAATTAGGATTCAACCGTATTTCAACATCTATCTAACATCTGGGTAATTGCTAAGCTAACGACATCATCTGTTTACAAATAAAAGGGAAAGTGCCCCCAATTTCCATGGTAACCAGGTATTCTGTTATCAAGGGAAATTGTCAAAATGCACTCCTGATCATATTCTTCACTTCTTATATACACATCGGTTCACTTGTCTTGAAAATATTCTTTTATAAAGTAATGTTCATTTCACTTAAATAGCAATACGGATGATGCCTCGTTTCCATGGCAACGAGGTATTTTATCGGATGGCACCATATCCAAAATTGATCAGGGGATGCTACTGTACATGTGTGCCAAGTTTCATGCTTTCTTCCATAAGTGCACATTTCCATCATTTTTGAGGGCTTATCCGCTGGACTACAAGTAAAAGCGGCGCGAGATGTTTAGGGCATGTTAACCATTGTGACGTCACACGAACTCGTTTGCATTTCCTCGCGCCGCGATGTAGTTAACACGCATGATTCGACACAATGCTGTGGAACGCCGGGATTCCGATACCATGGGTTTACTGCAGGGTAGGCTTGTAGTCTATATTGTTTCAACGTCTTCTTCTCTGGACCAATGACATTAAACAACATGATGCGCAACTCCGGCATTTATGGCCGAAGATCGTATCCGATAGCACGCTCCAATGCACATACTTGACGAGACGAAAACGAGCGGATGTGTGCTGCTTTCAAAGCATAGCACGAATGGTGTTCGTGCCTGCTTTGACAGTTGTTGTCGATTTTAATGATATATTGGAAAATTGAAGGTAAAAAGAAATCGGAAAAAAGTAAGGTAAATACTATTGTTGTATATCACATTCGGGCATCGCACTGTTAAGTACATGTGGGAAAGCCAGCTTTTGTCAAATACTACGAAGTTATTAAATCAGTACGGTACGTAGTTGCCCATTTGCCGAAATTGCATATTTACTTACCCTTTATGGTTTCAAATAGTTCATGCACCTCCATTTGGATTTTTTTCAATCAGTGAGGATATATACTCATTGCTGTAACATACTATAGAGGACTTGCACGGGTCACGTGACTTTGTTACTGGACGGCAATAAATCAAAAACGTCCATTTGGCTCCTGTCAGTTGCAAGTCGGATTATACGTTTCCGTTTTGTTTGGCTGTTGAAAATGGTTATTTCATATTGTTCCGTTGGCTGTACGTATAGTATAGACAACGAAATGGATCTTCAGTTATATTACACTGTTTTCAAAAGATCCGGAACGTCGCGCAATGTGGATTTTATCTATTGGCAGGAATGCTTGGTGTGAAGTCCAGAAGCCATCTCACTTGTGTTTCACTGTTTGCGGACAGCACTTCGTTGATGGTGAGTCATCATGTGCCGTTATCAAATTTCAAATATTTATAAGCTCCCTCATTTCAATGGAAAGAAGATGACAAACTACTGTTATTGGTAGGCATAGGCCTACTTGCAGACTTGACTCGTGTAAGGTATCAATCAATAATTGCCATAGGGTATTGTTTTCCTAGTTAGCAGGTACCGGTAATCTATTAGTAAGTGTGAAAAGTTGAATAGATAACTAAAGTTTAACGCCAGTGCTAATGCAAAAAATAACCAGAATTCAATTGAATTCTCCATCTATGAATACACTCGCCCCCGCATCGCTGATCCCCCTGGGAGTTTCACAGGTTCCAATCCCATGCGGGGATGGTTATGTGCGAGAGGTTTGCAGCTTTCCTTCCACTGAGGGTGGTTCACACGACCGCTGGTCGATTACGTTATAATCAGAATTCACAATTAATAGGAATCATAAACAGCCAACATTCAATGAGAATTATATGCCAAATCCCTCAGAATAAATTTGTCTTCTAAAATCGGAGGAAGGCAAAACATATAGGTAGTTTCCATTCATACAAGTCTTTCAAGAAGACTTGCTCGAGCCAAACTAAATGAGCATCGTCAGATGATCGGCAAGGCTGCAAGTTGAATCAGCCCTGCAACCTCCCGCGTAGAAGATAATATTAATTAGTGGGCTATGAACTAAATTCCTAAATTTAGACACAAACCTATCTACGAGGCATTATGTACCAGCAATGTTACCTACGGTTAACTAAATATGTAATTATGTCTAATAAATTAACCTACTAAAGCAAGTTCGATAGGTGCAAACTTTGTGTTATGGAATTGTATCACAGCACCGTTAAGAGAAGTGAAAACAGTTTTGCTGTTTTGTATGACACTCTCTTTGAATGAAATTTCAATGTTTAAGCGCAAACATTAAAATTACTAACTTTGAACTTTGTCATTATCTGCAAAATGTTCCACAAAATCTTACGCTATCGCGTTTGTAATCTTCTCTGATAAAAAAAAAACGTCTATGATGTCCAGAATTACTCTTTACAGCTTGTCTGTCATTCCAGCTTTCCAAGTGAGCAAAACTTCTTAGATATAGAGATTATTTTCTTTCGTTACAAGCGCAAAAAGGCAGGTACTACACATAAAAAAGACGCCGAGTAGCAAAAGCGAGCGGAAAACGGTCGCGAAAGGCGACGAGAAATATGTGCATTGGAGCGTATCATGAAATACAATCTTTCGCGTGTAGTCTTATGGAGTGACGTCAGAGTTGCCTATCATGTTGTTTGATGTCATTGTCTGGACGTAACCGACCTACCAGAGGACGTAAAAGATCATTTTCTTGATCTTCGTTGTGATTCAGTCACACGTGACCTATTTTGTGAAAAATCACCAGCCTAGTCCTGGTGCTCCATGTATGAATCCTATCCGCAACTGGCTGAACTAGCTTTCCGAATTCCGAAACAAAGGCACGATAAAATGAAAGTCGTGAATGATGTGAGATTAGCTTTGTCAAAAACCCAACCACGAATTACGCAGTTGGCTACGCGGTTTCAATGCCGGACGTCAGATTGAATAAAACTGCAGCATGATAAAAATTTTAAAAAATTACACAATATTCACTTCGTCGCTTATTTTATTGATATGTATAGAAAGGGAGGCAGGGGGTCACGAGGTATGTGTAAACCGCCAAAGGGGGTCGCGAGCCAAAAAAAGGTTGGGAACCACTGGACAAAACCTGTGCATTCGCCGCCCAGGAAAGCGTCCAAACAAACAGAAGTTCATTCGGGCGTTCATGATCTGCAGCGATGTTGAGAAAAGTCTTCAAGTGTGTACTTCGGTCATTATTATTATATTTATATATATCTTGGTGCCGTGCCCGTGGTTTTATATATATTCTGACATATTGTGCTACATCTGTACATTCACCTGGCTGACATGTGCAGATTGGTGTGCCACTAGTCCTATTTCCTGCCTCACCATACAGTTTAATACATTACAGCCTATTATTGGTTCAAAATTTAAGCTCCTATTGACGTTAGCTTACTTTATACGTTCTGTACGTTAGTACTGTAGTATCTAAGTATGGATCAGCCTGCAATGTCAATGGGTGATGCAGAAGGTGTAGAAGCTAAAAAGGACCTTGTTCCCAAGAAAGCGCAGAAAGGTGGATTGGTGAGTTAAAAAGTTACAGGTTTGCTATTTCTATGTATGCTGAAATTTTGCAGCTTTAACAAGAGTATATGCTATAAAATCATAATAATTTTGTATACAATCATACATACTATTCGAAATGCTGTTTGATTCTGATGTTTGTAAATAGTTTGCTAACAAATGCAGAAATGCTTGTATCACTGTCTCATCATTTTCTCAATGCAATGATAAAATGATGTTCAGTCAGTCAGTGGTGTATGATCATTGCAAATAAAATCTTGGATAGAAGAGGAATTGTTCATCACTCATGATTTCAAATTGAGTGGAAAATGACACCTGTCCATTTATATTCAGCATGTCATAGGCCTAATATATGCATATCATATTTCATATTTATCACTGGGAGAATAAAGCCTATAATATGGCTTAAGCATGTGTGGCGAATCAAGTTTGGTTACCAACACAGGTCAGGGTTGGCAACATCTGGAAATTGGTGATACCAATCCAATTAATATTTCATTTGTATAGACTGATCGCAAAGGAAGCCAATCATCACGAATCACAGCCTCTTGTTCAGTACTTGTCTTAGTTTATTGTTGTCATTTATTTCGACTACGAAGGATATTTTGTAGCATATATGGCAAATATTTCATCTAAATTGTTTTTATGACTGTGTCCTCCACCAATTAAACAAGCTTTTTTTTTATTTCAAAGATTGTTATTGATATCCCACCACCACCTGAAGATATTTGCAAAATTTGTGATCCAGTGATGAAAACGGATTTACGGATCGCTATATTCACCACTATCTTTTGTTGGTTTCCACTCGGCGTTCTCCCAATTATTTTTGGATTCATCAGCATTCATTATGCTCTTGAGGTATGTAACTGAAACTACTAGACTGATTTTTTTTATTTTCTGCTTCAGATAGTTGTATTCGATTTTTTCATATAATGTTTCTTATTACTATAAATCAGACCTGACGTATCACATAATGACATTCTCATGTCTGTAAGCCAACTTCTGGAAAATCAGTACAAATAGTTGTAACAGTCATAATGGTCTTTTCTAAACATTGATTCTCCTGGTATATTATTTACAGTGTCATATAATTGCAGTTCGAGAAACATTCAAACTTGTCTCTAGCTTCAATAGTAGGTACTCCCGTAGTATGTTAGGGTTAAGCCATAATTTTATTTCGATTTTCCTAATTTTAGTTCTATTACGAGTTCAGGAACTGTCTGTGTTAGTCGAGTGAATATACCTCTGCCCATAGGTTTCAGTTCCTTTACACAATTTGATGTAAAATAGGCGAACAAAATTAGTTATCTCCATATTGGTACACATACTTCTGGAGCTCCTAATAATATACCTTTTCGCTAATGTATCAGGCTAAAAAGACTGATTCTGCTGAGCTACGATCAAGATACTCCTACATTTCTGCATCAATCTCATGGATTGGGATGATGTTGTTTGTTACTGTACTCACTTTGGGTGTTGTCATCACCGCCACATGTGGTATTCTTTAGTCTGTGATTGTGAACAAGTTGTATTCAGTCAGTTCAAAATTTATGTTTATGAAATTCAACAACAAGTTTTCTACTTAATTAAGTAAAGTTTATATTAATTCGTTTCTACATATTCTGTATTGTGTTGAATTACATTTGAACATATTTTTTGAACCTGGCTCGCTTTTCATTAATCATCTGAATCACCTCATTTGAAATGACTTTCATTATTTCTTCAAGTTGTTCTCAGTTTTTATTTTTGTCTCATAAATTTTACTGTGACTTACTGGTAGTTTCTGATTTTTGAACTGTTCTTCACATATTGCATTTGAAGCTTGCCCAGGTGTTTTTTTTACCAACTGTTTATACGAAACATTTTCACTGTGTTCATTATTAAGAACGAAATTTTTTTGTTACTTTGGTCAGTGCCTTGCCATTTATATATTTTTATTTCATTTTGTATTTACCTACGGTTAGTGTTTAAATATTTTTTACCCTACCGAATGTTTCTTCATGATTATTGATAGAATTCAAAAGAAAAATAATGGTCGCATTATGGACATCTCATCCATATTATATATCTTTGTTGCGTTATTCATGAATTTTTTTTTGATATCTTGATTTTGATGTTTTTTTGCATCTTGTGCTTGTTCCATTTGTAAAAATTTTGTTCATTATTTTGCCTCGGAAGTTTCTGTGAAAATTCAATAATTTTTCATTAAACTCGGATAAAAAATTTTCCTATACTAGTTAAAGTTTTTCATCTGTGGTGTGCTGTTTACATAATTCTGTAGCAAAAGCAACTTAGCATTCATGTGATATATTTACATTATTGCATATTCTCAAATGAATACCATTACATGGGATAAATTATATTTTAGATTATAGCTTCACAGTTCAAATTTAATCTGTTTTGGCGAATAAACTTATTCACAAACAATTTTGATACATTACAGAAATTTATCTTGTGCAGGAGGGTACTCCATAATGGACCTTTCCCCGAGCATCGACTTCCTTGTTTACTAAATGACATTGGCCAATCAACAAGATGCAAAAAGTGACATAACAATGCTCCCCTTTCGCATTCGCTCAGACACTTTTTTCACTCAAACAGATTTTCAGGCGTGGTCGTAAACATTACCTCGTTTTCGCGTTTTTGAACTCTAATCGTTAGTTTTCAGTTGTGTTTCGGAAATTTAAATATAAATCAGATAATTCAATGATCACGGTATCTTCTTTAAGTTTTAATTTAATTGCAGTAATAAAAAATTAGTGTAGAAATAGCTGTGATAGACTAGGCTAAAAAATTTTACCGGTACTTTTAAAAAACAGATTGTTGTATGTAGGGCTGTCCAAACGAACCAAATATTCGAAATCGAATCGAATCGCAAATTATTCGAATCGTTTTTCGGCTAATTTTCGAATCGCTAAAATTAGGTATCGGTACATAACGCGGAAATATTTTTACGGGATGTTTTTCATCGGGCAAGCGGCGGCGCTCCGAGCTCAGACCACTCTTGCTCCCGGCTTGCTTAATTGGTTTCCCGATATTTCTCTCGCCTTCATTTTGTGATAAACATGTCATTACTAATGCCCGGCCGGTGGCACGTGATTAGCCATTTCATGCATGGTCGTCATAACAAGGTATAATCGATCGTGACGTTTTTGAGAGAGAACGAGGAGAAAAAGAAGAGAATTTAGAAAACGATAGTTCTATAAATAGAATCGATTTGAAGCTGTTGAGTTAGTTATCATAGGAACATGGTACAGGCAACTCAAAGCTGAAACAGGTTTTGGGATCCTTATGATGGCAATACCTTCTTTACATGGAATTTGTAATTTCCTATGATGGCATTACTGTATTATCCATCTATATACCAAGACAAATAATTGCACTCTTGCATTTTGATGGCTGTTGTACACTAACAATATTATAGTCATCAAATAATATTGTCATCAAACTAGCTTGGAATTTTTAAATGCAATTTTGAACTTGAGCAACAGTTTTATCTATATTGATGAATGTAATTATTTTGCTGAAATTTACACAAAAAAACATAAAGACTAGTGAATAGGATTAAAATAGCATCTACAGGCTTTATATGTCCTATTAAAACTGAATCCATCAAAATTGAGATTGCAATTTTTGAATAGTGCAATTTTTACTCTAAAACAGTTTTCGAGACCCAAATTTTGGAGTTCTCCAATTTTTTTGACCAGGTCATACAAGCGTGTGATCTCCTTTGATGTAACTGCACATACGTTACCACAACATCGAAGGGCAGGCATTTATTGTATAATAGAGACAGATTTACTATTGCGCAATAATATTCGGTTCGATTCGGAGAAAATATTCGATTCGAATCAAAAAATTATTCGATTTTGGACAGCCCTAGTTGTATGCGATGAATCATAATGATGGTTTGAACAAATACCCCATTTTACAGGCGCCAACTTGCGAAACCACTCTTAAAACAGACCCCGAAAATTTTGTAATGGTAAAGTATAGGAAAAATTTTGCGGGCGCCAAAGGTCTATTGAATTAGGCTTCAGCCTCTTTTTGTGTACAGCGTTATATATAAATGGAGTCCAACGCATTGAGCCCAACTGTACCACCTATGGAACTTGCCGTCCATCATTATGATCTCTGAGTTGACGAATACGGTTGCCCGCCATTGTCAGTCAGTGACGTCACATATCAATTGTAATGGCAGCGTGCAGCTAGGATAGGATTTACATATTTATCCCGGGGAGAGGAAAGCCGATAAGACGGCTTATCCCTATGGCGAACCACGGCCTCTCGTCCGGTAACCATTCCGAGTCGGGTATGGGATTAGTTATATTGTTTTGTTTTCGGAAGCATGGACTTGGTGGTGGAGGAAGCCGTAACCGACCAGCGGTTACGTGAACCACCCAACGACGGCGAGGAGTCCAGCAATCTTCTCGCACATAATCATCCCTGCATGAGATTCGAACCTGCGAACCCACGCAGAGTAATTAGAGGTGCGGTGGCGAGCGTATTCCTAACGCTTAGCCCGTTGAGCCACACCGCCGCGCTCAAGTAATAATTAACGCGGCATTATTTCCAGTTCACCTAATCGTATAGGATCTCCGTTTTGTCATGATTTGAATTGTCCGCCACGGCTTTTTATATCATTGATTAAAACAAGATTTCAAATTTTAACCAACAAATTTATAACAAGGGTTTGTTACAAAAAGTCCACGAGAGCCAAATGCTCTTTTGCTCACACAATAGTGGATTGGATAGTAAGTAAGCAGAGCTTCATGTGGACTTTGCCCTACCACCATATACTTAACGAAGAAAGTGGTTTAGCTCAAGGTTCTCGCGTTTTAAGAACTTGAATTTCGTTTCACGCGCTTCAAAATTCGGCCGGATCAAATATCAGGATTGTCCATAGGACGTATTCTGTTCTGTCCCATCCCACCCATAGCAATTTATGCCTGTCCCATCCCATGGGATTCCCATTGGAATACAATACAATAAAAATTATTGAATTTATGAAATTTTAGGTTTAGTGCATACTGAATAGGACTACATGTACAAAGAGACCTGCAACTCGACAAAAATTATTGACTTTGTTAACTTCAGAAGTATTGTCTATAACTATGACAATTCAGTATCAGGGCCCCCAACGCCAAAACTACTGGGGAAAATTCCCAGTGATTGGTCAAACTCTTTCCCATCCCGGAAACGACGCTAAACATCTTTTAAACCGCAAAATCATACGAGCGCGACTGGATTGACAGATACCCGCTGCCATATCAATAAAAAAACACTTCTCTTTGGACCGATCGCAATGAAAAAAATAATGGGTTATGTCTCGACATTTTCTTTCCAATCAGCCCGACAGATCCCCTGGAAAGCTATAGAATGGATTATCATTACTTATCACTCACTTCTTTTATAAAATTGTCCCAATTGTCTTACGTGTCCCGCTCACCTCAATTGCTGTGCCAATTAAGTCCATTGTGAAATACAAATGTGTGCTATCCAATCCCATGGGGCGATTCCCAAGGAAATCCCATTCCCGTTGGACAAGCCTGCAAATAATACAAAGAGATCTCGTTGCTTGGCATCCGATAATTTTAGCAAACTCTTTGGTTTGAGGCCCAATTTTACCGGTACCGAAACGCAACCTCAATATTTGAGCATTGCTCCCTTGTTACTAAAGTAAGGTAAGATATAATATTTCGATTTTCTCAATACCACATTGAGCGACGTACTAAATTGTATTTTAGATAAAAAGAACATTTCGAATAGCCATCCCAATTATCTTCAAATTTCCCCATCTTTTTAGTTAGATATTAGAATCTTGGGTGTCGCTACTGGATAACCAGCTTTGGTTTCCCACGGATCTTCTTCTCCAGTGAAACCGTGATACTGTAATTTTTTCAGGAATTTGTGTACGGTTGGTTTCTCGCTCGTTGGAAAAATGAACTTGATTGACTTAGGTTGCTGGTATCATTGGGCCACCTTAGATTGTCGTGTAGTATAGCCCCACCCCCGTAAATTATTATCACCACATTAATTCAGCTTCCATCCGCACCCTAAATCAGAATAGTGAAAAACCCAGCTGCGGAGCCTGTGGTGTCAACCTTAATTATACCGGCTAAACAGAATACGCGACAACATCAAGAGTGCTAACGATTTGACACTTATGGCGCACCATCTGTTCGGTCGAATATATAAGCCGATGAACTAGAAAGAAGGGGAGAGAAAATGAGATAAGACATAGTTGACTTTCTGTATGATTTTTATGATACTGTAGCCTTTATAATAATATTATTGTTGTTGTGTAGTGAAGGCTGAGGGAAGCGGTCCAATCCTTAGCTCGATCTCTATTGCACCCTCTTTCTGATTTTGCCTGATCTCCACTCCCAACAACGAATGCAAAGATATCAGAATTCATCAGCACACAATTGATATTTTATTGCCAACTTGATCGTTACAATTCTCCAGTATCTTATGAATAAATACTATTACTTTCTGACTTGACACTCCCGTCTTATCTTTTTTAATAAAAACCATGATGTGCCTATATATATTAATTTGAGTCCCTAATTTAATGTACTATCAAGGACGGCATGAGCTTTAATCTATATTGTCCGATCAAAACAATATGTTTTGTCGTCGGGCTATGGTCTGCGACGCGAATGACGCACACCAACTGGTTTTGCCCTAATTCAACGAATCTGAGTTAAACCCGATTTACAGCTAATAGAACTAGTTTTGCCCGAATTACCGAAACTCAATCAACTTGATATTATTGTCCCTACAATACTACTATTAATAAATATCTCATAAACTTAAAACTGTGATACTGTATTTGGAGAGCTAAAGAAGTATATAGCACACCGTACTACGACCTTTAGAAAGAAAGGAAGGAAGTATACTAATGGTACCACGGTACGGTCCCTGCATTTGGTGACCCGGCAGACGTATTTAATAAAATAACTGTAGATTTGCAATTATTAAAGTGCCAATTAGAAAATTTTTTGGCAAACAATTACCGAACCCTAGCAAGACCTTCGGGCAATATTAGGAGGAAACAGGGCAGCGATTACAAGCGGCGATCTTCTGCTAGAGATAGCATGTGAAAAAATAAACGTAACGCTTGTTCCACATTTACACTACGATAGTCTGTTCGCAACTAAATCGTTGGTTAAATCAAAATAAACTGATGAGAAAAATAATGAACGCATCGCTCAATTATTCTCAGACGGGAAAGCATACTCTGGCGCCCATTTTCTGGAACGCTATCATTCCGGCAGAACGTTTACTTTTGAAATCGGCCAAAGTTCTACACATATGTGAACTACACTCTTGCACAAGCGAGAGTTACTTTATTGCGCCCCTCTCTGACTCGCAACGATGCGAGTTACGAACCGATTGACTTTGTACGTCAATTGTCAACGCAAACTCACGACGCAAATCGCGAAGATGAGATTAATGTGCTTCTATCAATGTCGCACACGAACCTGATAAAAGCGCAGTTACTTGAAAATTTTGACTCCACCATGGAGTATTCGCAAAGCGCCAACACATCGTACGCGCTCCAGTATGCCACGAACAGACTACGTAGTACTTTAGAACAAGCCCTTTCCTTCATCACAAAGCCTATCGTCGCCGGGATATATCTAACTTTATTTCTCTTTTGGGGAACGGTACTGACTATTATGGTTATCTGGCGTTTGTTCCCTATTTTAAAACACAAGTTGTCAAATACGACAACAAACAAACGACAAGGAGACGCCAGTAGCAAACGCACTTCTACCACATATGATACCAGAATTGATATGACAGATGCCAAAACCGAAGCGGCTATACCAAGGCACACCGCATATCCCGTACACTCAAAATAACTATATTTACACCGCCCTTTATAAAATCTTAGGGCAACTTATGCTGGTATCATTGGGCCACCTTCGATTGTCGTGTAGTAAGTGCAGGGACCGTACCGGTGTCCCATTAATATACTCCCTTCCTTTCTTTCTAAACGTCGCAGTACGGTGTGCTATATATATATACTTCTTTAGCTCTTCGAATACCGTTTTGAGTTCTTGAGATATTTATTAATAGTAGTATCATACAAATCACACAGAAAGTCAACTATGTCTTATCTCATTTCATCTCTCAGTCCCCCTTTCTTCCTTCTAGTTCATCGGCTTATATATTCGAAAGAACAGATGGTGCGTCATAAGTGTCAAATCGTTAGCACTCTTGATGTTGTCCCGTCATCTGTTCAGTCGGTATAATTAAGGTTGACACCACAGGCTCCACAGCTGGGTTTTTCACTATTCTGATTTAGGGTGCGGGTGGAAGCTGAAATAATGTGGTGATAATAATTTACGGGTCTGGGGCTATACTACACGACAATCGAAGGTGGCCCCGTGATACCAGCTAGGTATTCTTTCCAAGTCGAGTTATACCGTGTAGACTCAATTTGACGCCACAAAATGAAAAGGTCGGGACGAGTCTCCTAACAGTGACAATTTTCAAAGATGAACACGTGATATCGTTATCGGCTGCGGAAGTAATTTGGTTGGTTCCATTACATTTGCACTCACGTACATCTGCACCCGTAATTTGAACCCACGACATTTGCACCTGCATACTATTGCACCTATCAAAATTTTTATGGATATTTGAACCCATACTAACCGTAACCCATGGATTTTAGCATCCGCATATAGCTTGAGCCCGCGGATATACCGATGCAAATGTATGGGTTCAAATGTACGTGGGTGCAAATGTACGGTCACCAATTTGGTTTCGTTCGTAATTTTTCTCTGATATCAGAGAGTGAGCGTCTCCAGGATTCAAACCAACAAGCAACCTTTTTTACTTTATTGTTTGACATTTATACTATTTTAATGGTGCACGGTAGTTTCAGATTTTGCATCAATTAAGGATTTCAAAATATCATACACCCACTCGGCAATCCGGCATGCGACATCACAACAGCAGTCATCATCCGGTTTTGCGTTTGATTGATTGCCACCGAGAAAGTGGCAATCAACCTCCATGTTTTTCGATTGCAACAGATACCTATCATCGGAAGCTCTCTACGAAGAATGAAGCAAGCTGGAAACGCCATCTCAATAACTGTACTTAATGTAGGCTTCTATATAAGTTCAACAGTGGAACTTTCCTGATATATTGGCATTTTCCGTCGAAGCACAGAAATTGATACAGCAAATAAATATACATTTACTTTAACGTTATTTGTGTTATTTGTGAGTCGGGAGGTCTTCAAGCCGCGACACCCACGACTCTGGCTTAGCGCATAGCACTGCATAATGCTTTAACTATTGTGGTAGTGATCATATTTTTATACTAACACTCATATTATATATAGGAAAATAAATACCTCATGAAAATTAACAGCAAGAGTAATCTAGCTGAACGAGTGTACGTTTTCCAAGGATTAAAATGGTCAAATTTGTAAAAAAAGACAATAAATGTAGGCAGCAATACAGTAGACTTTATTAAACAATAATAAGTTATTGTGTCTCATTAGGAACAATATTTCAATCCATGTGAGAATTATCATAGTGGCTGCCACACTATAATTCGACTCCTTAAAACTATAGTTTGCCAATATTCTTTGAAGTTGCGACTATGAATACTTCAAATGATTATGTTTTACTTTAGGGTAGAAATATCAGTAGGTCGAGATGGTATGAAGTAGCATAGGTCACGTATTTCGTAAGAATGGCATGATTTTGGAGAGTTTCTTGGCGAAAATTATGTTTATCAAGATTTAGTTGCAGTCGATGTTGTGCGCCCGCCATTTTAGACTGCGCACCCGTGTGCGTGGATACGAGATTACACTTAATATTGATCAAACATTAAACATGATCAGTATATAGAGAACGGATAGTCCAGCCACTTTGATATATCATCCTCACGTCACTGCTGAAAATTATTTCGAAATATTTGGGTGCTTCATTTCACACACTAAGAAGAGAGAACTCTCGAAATGTCATTTTTCGTATAAAATAAAACAATATACCTAACACATTTGCCTATCATTTTTAGATTTGATTGATATTTGAATATAGGATGATTCAATTGTTTAACGACATTGAAAACAGTATGCACTTTCTCATTCATGCCATAGCATAGCCTACAGAGTCTGCTCAAAAAATCGTTTTGTATATCAAAATTCCCCGTATCACGTAAACCGGATAAACATGCAATGGATCAACTGCATAGAAATATTTTTGAAAGTCATCAAAATCCGCTGTTGTCGTACCAACATCAGGGTATCATAAGCTAGTGATTTCTATCAAGTACACGATCGCTGTGAACAATTGAGCAAAGATTGTAATATCCCAACTCCTCTCAACCATATCTGATATCAGGAACGCGGTATTGGGAACAAGGCAACCTAATTCGTTAAAGATTATTTTTTATCAGATTTAGCTTCTTTTAATAAAATTTCACGAAACACTAATTTTTCAGCGTTTTGCTACGAAGAAGCACACTATTGTTCAGGTCGATCTGGAAATTTCTTCTTTTAATTTTCTTATTGTCTTTGGATTGGGTTATATATATGTAGCTTTGTTAGTGATATATACAACGTATACATGTGACCATATGTGTTATATTTTCGAGTGGGTAGTGATTAATGTCAAAAGCTATGAGGAAATGAGAAAGACATTCAGTTATGCAAAAACATGATGCCCATATTTGGTGTACGTTGTGTCCTCTTCTTTTCGAGATTGAGAATAGAGAGAAAGCAATCAACGCAAAACCGCCCATTGCCAATAAGAGCTCGCGTCAGCACTTGCTCGAGTGGCGGATGCGATAAAGAATTTGGCCAGATACAAGCCGAATAAATTCCGATCGCAGTTTACAATGTAGCCTACAGATGGAGGGGATGGATAAATTTGATTTTAATTTTATAATTTACCGAATTTCGAGTCATATTCCTAAAATATACCTCCACTATTATTTATTGTCAGCTATAGACAGGCAAATTAGAAAAAAAAATCTGAAACGTATGATTTGACTATGTTCGAGCTAATTTTTTCCAGTTGGATAATTTGCTTTATCTATTGACGAATAACTTAGAATTATATTTTTTACATCATTCCTTGACGATTGAAGGCCATTTTCATTTATCAACATGAAATATAGTTGCGTAATTCTCGTCATCTTACTTGGCACGATTATGGGTGAGTATGTTTTATTTTATCTTACTGTTTATTACCAAGAAACATTCCGTTTTACAAACAGCCGAATATGAGCTGCAACGGAGCATCGGAATTTAGGTTTAGATGTTATTCTAAATAATATATCCTATACCAGAGTTATCAATTAGCGCTAGTTAAGAAACTGGATATTAAACAGATTCCCGTAGAATGCGTAGCTTAGCCATTGGTTTTGTGTGGATGTAAAATGTCTGATATCTCTCCAGCAAGCACAAGTTCAGGTACACAATCCGTATAGCTCCACAAGCATATAGACGGCATCTGGTTCCCTCAATCATGCGGATGACATTAGACTGGCGAAGTAACGAACCAATTGGTTCACTCGCTACCATGAAATGCGGAGTAAAACATAGCAGTTTGCTCAGCTCACTTTTCACAAAATTCTACGCAGAACAAATTATGAATGCTCAGAAGATGAAGCAAATTTCTCGGGAGTTAAGTTTTAAACAAATTCCAAGTTTCAATGATCCGGCAGTATATACGCGCATAATCTCATTTCCTCAATATTCTATTGAATGATTCAACATTAAAACAAAATTTGATTCAAGATTTTACTTGTTACGGTGGCGTCAATTATGTAAGCGCAATATTGATATAGATAGCTTGATGCTGGCAAGCCGTGTCAGAAACACCTTCCTCTTGCATCGGAAATAATTAAAAAGGTTACATCAGTCATATATTTGCATAGCGTTAATGCTTTAGAGAAGATCAAATTCCACATAAATGTAAACTTCGATTTTATCTGTCGTTGAGAGTTTATATGAGTGAAACAGTAAATTCTAGCTGTGTGATCGTGTTCACGTTTTTCCTCTTCACTTGAATGACGACTGAGGATAATAATATGGCTGAGGTTGTTCGGTTGGTATCGTGAGGCATGTGATTCTCTCTAAATTTTGTTTTGCGTTCGAGGCCAAAATATGCAAGTAATCAATATGAGAAAATAAATGAAAAACTCGTGAACAAGTGGAATTTTTATGGGTTTTTCTTACCAGTCATAAGTTTTCAATTGTATTATCATTTCATTCATTTTCCGGTAAAAATTACAAGCCGTCTGGAAAATTTTTGGCGTATTTCTTGCCACGTATAGCAATCGTTAAGCTAAAACAATAATTGAGCTGCTTATTTATCTTACTCGAATTGCCATATGGTTTCACAGATTATATTCTATCGGCTGTGCAATATATTTGTATATGCTGTGCATATATTTGTCGCTTTACTTTTGTGTACCAAAAACATAAGCTTTATATACTTTATTAGTTAAGAATATATATACATCAAGATTTATAAAATGTAATCATCATTGTTTTTCAGATGTTAAAGCACAAAATGCAACTATGGCAACAACTGTTGCAAAATCTTCTGCAATGGTAACTACACCTGCTTCAAAGGCAACAACAACCACTGGGGATGCAACTGTGGCTCAAGGCAAAGTCAGTACTGTCGTCGCATCGCTATTAGTAGCGCAAACAGCTCGCTTGTTGTTCTAATTATTGGTAAGTGTAAAACATCACTGAAATAAATGCTGTGTAGCAGCGTGTTAAGTTCCTTCCTATAATACGGAAAATAAAGAAGTATAATTCGTGGATAAATATTTTGATGGCAGTGGCTAGCTATCGATCAAAAACTGGACGAAATTCGTAATTGGTGACTGAAATTATTTTTGATATGATGGTATATCTGCTGAGATGTTCTTGTTGTACATCGTTAGCGTCAAAGTTTTTAATTCAACGAAAATTGAATAATAATGAATAATATTATTATTAGTCACAAAATCGGATATTTATCATAGTAATGTATATATATTATAATAAATTTTAACAAAATTATTTCTTATATTAATACAGCTTTATTAAATGTCGGACATATTATTCATACCAGTTATAAGTTATATTTTATTTATAATCTTATACATAATAAATTATCATCTGAAATAACACAGAAAATCATCGTTTTGGCAAAATCTGACTTCTTTATTTTTCAGGAAAATGCATCTTTTATTGAAGAAAAAAATAAAGAATATATATGTATAAAGTCATTCAACTTATATAACACTGTTTTGACGCGTAGAACAACTTTTATATTTATCGTATTTCATGTCGTGTTAATATTGCCCTCGTGAACGTTATTCTAATTATCACATTTCATAATTCAATTCCATTTGAATTGTTTTAAGCAACCGAAGTTTATGTTAGTTACTTTTCAGAATAACACCCTCGATATTGTGTGTGATTGCTTTTCTCATTTATTCATGTGTCTTTGTGTCGGAATGGATGACACGCTGCTCTGGAAACAAAACGACACCAAGTAGAATTCATAATACTAAGTTGTAAATATGAAAAATTTGACACGCAAGACAATAGCAACTTGTCGTAGCCTATGATGATGCAATAAACCAAAGTGTAAAAAATATTGCAGTGTTCAATTAATTAATGACTGCATAGTAAAGATCTGAGATAGATAGTTTTATGGTGCAGACATGGAATAACGCATCTTCAACGCATGGTAATCCATTCAGAAGTGTACGGTGGCCCCAGAGAATGAGAAGGAGATAGTTTATTGTTAGTCACATCAACGCAGTGGCTCTTGAACTTTTTGTGACCGTTAATCTTGATTCGTCCAATTAGATGTTTTCATCCCCACGCTATTCTCAAGAGTAGATTATAGCTTTGCCTATATTAATTAAATAAACTTGATTATAAAATGCAATGCGGCTTGTAAAACCAAATCCCGGCATGCTTCGTTGTAGGTTCTCATTTTTGGAGGCATGGATAGGTATACTTTAGTCATGTCCGAGGCGCTAGACTGCAAGAGTTTTACAATGACATAAATAATACGGATTTGTTTTGAGCATTATTTTCAGGTACGAATAATACGCGGGGGTGGAGAATTTCGCATTTATTTTAGCCGGTGATTTTCATATTCTGCATCATTTCCAGCAGATAGTCTGGATGAAACACCTGGACTAGACTGTGACAGTAAAATAATCTGCACAAGGGTGCGACGTGGCCATGGTGGCTAAGTTAGCTGTCCAGGCCACCTGGCAGTAAATACGCTCATGTCTGGTCACTGGTAGGCTTACCATACGTCCCGGTTTAGCCGGGACAGTCCCGGATTTGACAAGCTGTCCCGGCGTCCCGGCCGGTTGACTCAAATGTCCCGGTTTGTCAGCACGGTTTTCATGGGTAAAAAATTCAAATTCATTAATATTACAAATTTTTTTTAACGGTGACAGCCCATTTACCACTGTTTTGCGACACACTTTGCTATTCCAGAGAGAGAAATCGCTCTATTGTTATGTCACAATTGGTATATGTTTTAATGCGTTTTCTGGCGTTAACTGCAATGTCGTTAAGTTGTCGAAATGCCAAAAAGAAAGTACAAGTTTTCTGATGAGTTGAAGAAAGATTTATCTTAATTGAAGCAAACTGAAGGATTAAAGGTACACTGTACGCATTGCAGATCTGTTTTTCTATTAGTCATGGCGGACGTTCAGATGTCAACGATCATATCCAAAGCAGGAAGCACAAAACAATAACATTGAAGCATTGACTGTGAAGCACCCGGTTTTTTGTTATCCAAAGCAGGAAGCACAAAACAATAACATTGAAGCATCGACTCGACTGACCAATTTTGCGATAACAAATTCGGATGATTCTGTGTCCTTGGCAGCCGACATTTACATATCACACTGCTATTCATGACCAAAGTTTTGACTGCACCTCTAAATTAATTTCAAATTTTTTTGAGGCTAAATTTGCATTAACTTGTAAATATACACAGTTAGAATTTCTGATGTCCGCTGTTTGATAAGCGGATTCGCTGATTTTGCACGTTTAGCCAGAAATAAATGAGAGTTGGTGCATTGCTCCGTTGTTCTCCTCTGAATTTAATGATGATTTACTTCAAGCTCGAATGGCAACAAAACGCAGAAAAGTTGATGCTAAGTGCAAAGGGTTCAATGGCGCTGAAAATATTCAAACGGAATTTTTTGAGATGCAATGAGGAAATAAATCTATATTTTGTTCGAGAGATGTATCACTGCTTGATTTTTAATATAAAAACTATCATCCGTTCAGTTTCAACTTTCTAAAAATATCTGCGGTCCGCCAATGACTCGCAACCCTTGATTTTGGCCCGCGGGCGACAAAAGGTTGCCGACCCCTGCCGTAGATGTTGCGAATATTCTGTCAGAGGTGAAGCTAAATTTACAGGGAAAAAATTTGTATTTAAAAAAAATGTTTGCGATTTTTACGAGAAATGTCTATCGTATATAGAGCTGCACGATAAAGCCTACAATGCTGCCAGGCCACACATATGGACAAATTTGAAGAGTGAAATAAACTGGACTGAAGTGTTTGGTCTGCAAAATTGATAAATGATATATTTGGTTAGCTGATCAGATTTTGAATAGCGATGCACTTTTACGAATACTGATAAAGAGATATTTATCTGAGCATGGTTCAAATGCAATTTGACTTAATTTGCCGGTTGAAATTAAGTGGACAAAGATGTTTAACGTTTTTTCTAACAGAAATATTAGCATTTCAAATTTGCAGCAAATTGGTTGATTTTGTTTTTCGGAACATCGGCATCTGTTAAAAGGATTTTTTCCATTGTTAAAAAATTTTGGTCCGAAAGCAGGTGCAGAATGCCAGAAGAAAATATAAAACCACTCCGTAACCTGCAAATTTAATGGTGATGTCTCTTGTTATCAGTTTTATGACAAAATCAAAACAAGAATTTTTGAGAAAGGTTCCATCTGCGGACAAATACTTTTGGTCTAAATGAATAATACAAACTAATTTTTTGTGTTTTTTCTAATTCAATGATCAGTAGAGATTTAAAGCCGTATATACCCGCAATGGCATGGTAGACGTTCCAATATTATCAAGACTGGCAATCGACCGAATGTTTGCCAAATCGCACCGTCCCGGTTTTTTGTTTCAGATTTATGGTAAGCCTAGTCACTGGTCATCCCAAAATCTCACAAGGTTTCCCGACCCGCGTCCGGCTTGTTGCCTCTATGCGTCTATGAAGTGTTATTGTGACGCAATAATGCTGATGAGCATATCCGGCAACCTCCGTGTAATAGTAAACAACATTTTCAAAAACAATAAAGAAAATATGGCCATGGCCAACCCATAGCTGTGGAAATCATAATGATCAGTACAAGAACTACTACATTAACAACTTATGGCGGATGACTTCATATAGACTCCGCGATAGCAGAAAAACGTTTTAAATGATTGATATCTATGTTTTGCAGTTATTTTGAATAAAAACGTGTTGTGTATAAGTAAATGGATATTGGTTTTCATAGTTTGTATATTTGAAAATCTCGTATTTCTCCACTTAGTAATTTTGTTTTTAATAAATTAAAATATAAGCCCCAGTGTTATTTTTCGAAAGAAAATTGAAATAAGACACAGTCTTATTTTCAGGGGAACACGATAGTTTTGTCTTTAGACGGATGTAACTGAACTAAACTAATCTGTAACTAAAGCTCAATTGCTTTTAGTTGTCCTTCATTTATCCATATTGGCCAGATATGATTCACTTAAATTTATCCATTGGCATTTGTCCGAAGGAATGGGATCTAAAATTTTTACAACATCGCCATGAACCTTTCCCCGACCTTTGACCCTCGGAAAATTCTCCCTATACTTTACCATTGCAAAATTGTCAAGGCTATTTTAAGAGTGCTTTTGCGAGTTGGCGTCTGTAAAATGGGGTATGTGTTTTTAACCATCATTATGATTCATCGCATACAACAATCTGTTTTTTGAAAAGTACCGGTAAAGAATTTCAGGCTAGTCTATCACAGCTATTTCTACACTAATTTTTATTACTGCAATTAAATTAAAACTCCTAGAAAGACAGAGTGTTTATTGAATTATCTGATTTTTATTTAAGTTCCCAAAACACAACTGAAAACTGACGAATAGAGTTCAAAAACGCGAAAACGAGGTAATGTTTACAATCACGCTTGAAAATCTGTCTGAGTGAGAAAAGTGTCTGAGCGGATGCGAAAAGGGGGCATTGTTACGTCACTTTTTGCATATTGCTGATTGGCCAATATCACGAAGTAAACAAGGAAGTCGATGCTCGGGGAAAGGTCCATATCTTAAAAGCAGTATTGTTCCGGTCAGTGGGCGAAATATAATTATCTAAGCAACCGGTTCCCAAACTTTTTATTCGTGCGGCGCCAAATTATCAGGGGAAAAAACGCACGTCGCACTCATACGAAAAAAATGCCACTTTTAAATTAACTCACTTTTGTGACCATTAATGTGTACTTTATGCCTTTTGATGTTTGTAATCATGTAAGCCCAAGAAATAAAGGCAGAAGATCAATTCTTCTCCCTACCCTCTTTCTGATTTTTCTTTGAAATGCTAAAAGAATCACTCATGTTCGCTTAACTCGGTTTAACATATGAATAAACTGTAGCTCACAAAATTAGCAACAAGTGCGCCGTGGCACACCTTTTGGGAAATGTTGGTCTAATCTAAGCCATTGATACTCAAAGTGAGCAATATCGCCCTCTTGAGGACGAAAGAGATATATTTAATGAGGGAGGGGGTAGCACATTCTCGAAAAGTCCGAATCAAAATGAATGTGCAAAAAATAGGTATGATATATTTTGATGCAAGTCATATATATGACAAATATCCGACCGTTTTACCGAAGTAAAACCATGGATTATATCATTTCCAACAGCTGTTTTGGTTGAAAACGGGTTTTTATTCGTGACGCTTTTACTACCAAAACAAAGAAATCGCCTTTCCATCAGCAAACAGGGTGAGTTTGGATTGTAACTTACAATTTTCGGGGGTATTGGCGATGCGGCGTGTAGAGTTTGAAGGCAAGCTGCTCTGCTGTGAAAAATGGCGGCTGTCATGTGCCGCAGCATTCAAGTCACATTCATCACTACGAGGGGCTAAAGAGTCGTATAAATCAAATGGCGTACGTAGGGAAATAGAGAAAATATGATTAACTCCATTT